CAACTCTTTGAAAGGGTAGATAACAGCAGGACGAGGGGAAATGGTTTGAAGTTGAGGGAGGGGAGATTGAGATTGGATGTCAGGGGAAAGTTCTTTCCTATGAGAGTGGTGAGGTGCTGGAACAGCTGCCCAGAGAGGCTGTGGATGCCCCGTCCATCCCTGGAGGTATTCAAGGCCAGGTTGAATGGGGCCCTGGGCAGCCTGGTCTAGTATTAAATGTGGAGGTTGGTGGCCCTGCATGTGGCAGGGGGGTTGGAGATTCATGATCCTTGAGGTCCCTTCCAACCCTGGCCATTCTGTGATTCTATGATTCTACGTGTGTGCTTGCAGCTAATTGTTTCCTGGGCCAGGCGGGATGTGGGGCTGTTGTAGCAGGTCCAGAGGAGGGCTGTGAGGATGCTCACAGGGCTGTAGCACCTCTCCTATGGAGAAAGGTTGGGGGAGCTGGGCTTGTTCTGTCTGGAGAAGGCTCCAAGGGGGCCTCATAATGGCCTTGCAGTGCTTGAGGGGTGATTATAAACAAAAGGAAAAACATCTAATAATAGTGATAGGTCAAGGGGGAATGGTTTTAAACTAAAAGAGGGGAGATTTAGGTTAGATGTTAGGAGGAAATTCTCTGTGCTCAGAGGGCAGTGAGGCCCTGGCACTGCTGCCCAGAGCTGTGGGTGCCCCATTCCAGGAGGTGCCCATGACCACGGATGGGCTCTGGACAGCCTGAGCTGGTGGGGGCACCCAGCCCATGGCAGGGACTGGGGATGGATGGGCTCCAACCGAAGCCATTCTGTGACAGGAACCTCCAGCCTGGCCAAACTGAACTTGAACGCTTTGAGGAGCCAACTTGTTTACTGTAAATCGTGCGCTGCTGTAGTTTACAGCCCCGCAGTGAGGGCGGAGGAGTCAATACGTTCAGTGCTGGCACCCACACAGCCAGGCTGCAGTCTCGTGTGTCAGCCTGCAGCAACAGAACGGTGACAGCGATGCGCTGGGAGCATCTGGCACAGCAACCCGATTTCCTCAATAAACCCCACACATCCCGCAGCGCTGCCCCTCGACGTACAGCCCCAACAGGACCGCCCTCGGGGCGGCGCAGCACGGAGCAGCCCGGTTCCGCCCCCTAAGAGGCGGGGAAGCTCCCATCGGTCGCTTTGCGTTCCCGGCTCCGCTTCTCCCTTTACGCCGCTCGGCCGCGGAGCGCTCGGCCCCGCGCAGCGCTGCGGAGGTGGCGGCGGGCGAGAGCTGAGGTGAGTGGCGGCGGGCGGCGCGGAGCGGAGCGGCACGGCGCGGAGCGGGACGGCGGCTCCGGGCCTCGGCGGCGCTTCCTTCCTGCGTCAGCCCGAGCTGCGCGGCGCAGGCCCGGTTCTCAGGGACTCCTCCCCGCCTCACGCCCCTCTCCGCGCTCCGCCCCGCGGTCCCGGGGCTGCGAGGGGCTCCGGGTTTGCCTCGGGGCTGCTCTCGAGCTTTTCCCACACGGCTGAGGCCGCCCGGTTGCGCGGCTCTGCTCTCCGCCTGTGGGCAAGGTGACCTTTCGCTTCGCCTCTCCCCCAGTCCGCCGTGCCAACAGGTCTCCTCTCGTTGTTTCCCTCTTCCCGACGGTCCGTTGCGTGGCCGCTCCGCGCCTCTTTTGCGCGCGTGTGGGCGGGAGCGGAGCGCCCACAGCCCTGTGAGGAGAGCGGCCCCGAAGGGCGCCTTCGTGTGAGCGGCACCGAGCGACGGCCTGCCTCGTCGTTCCCGTCCTGTGAATGCTCACGCTTGGTTTTGAAAAAGCACCGGTATTATAAAGATTAAAAAAACAAAAACACGACAAAACCTGAGTCTGAATCTTAAGACTTGACGTTTAACTCTTGAAGTTGTGACTTTTTATTGACGTAGCTTTAATGTTATGCCTGGCGCTGCTGCCCAGAGCTGTGGGTGCCCCGTCCCTCGAGGTGCCCATGGCCGTGGATGGGTCCTGAGCAGCCTGAGCTGTGGGGGCAGCCAGCCTAATGCAGGGGTTGGGGCTGGATGGGCTTTAAGGTCGCTTCCAACCCAAACCTTTATTGGATTCAATGATCAAACTTTTCTCCGTAGAACTCAGTAGAGCCGAGAGCTTTCTATGGTCTCCTTACCACAAGCTGAAACAAATGATTGCAGAAGAGAATGAAGGGAAATGCAGAAGAGAATGAAGGGAAATGTTGACACGTACAGCCAGTGCTGCTTTTCTGATGTTGCTTTTTTCTTTGCCTTGATGCTGCTGTCTATGCTGTTGCTTTGAAGGTCAGATCGAGAAACTGCCCCATCCCTGCAGGCATTCAAGGCCAGGCTGGATGTGGCTCTGGGCAGCCTGGTCTGCTGGTTGGTGATCCTGCACATAGCAGGGGGTTGGAACTGGATGAGCATTGTGGTCCTTTTCAACCCAGTCCATTCTATGATTCCAGCTGTTAATAAGCTATTTAACTGGCTTGTATCCAGTTCCCACACATACACTTTTCCCCCAGAAAGGGTTTGGGTAGGGTGAGTTGTTTTGCACGTGTCATATAAGAATCCTGCAAGAATAGGATTCAAAGACTTTTGGTGTGGTGTGGTTCAAATGCCAAATTGCCTTCTTCCTTTTCTTCTAAGTGTGTGTCCTCTGACTAGAATGGGAGCTGCAGATGTATGGGCTTATGGAAGTGAGCATGTGTTTCCGAGTCTCTGTACCATGGGTTTTTGTTCCTTCCTACAGTGTCTGATTTTCTCACAGCAACAGCCTTCTAGTGGAATAATTGCTAAGTGCTGACTCCAGAAAGTTTGTGGAGGAGCATTATATGGAATGGGGGGAGAAGAAGCAGTATCAGTGTGATCAGCCCTTCATAGAATCATCATAGAATGGGCTGGGTTGAAAAGGACCACATTGCTCATCTAGTTTCAACCCCCTGTTATGTCCTGCAGGGTCAGCAACCAGCAGCCCAGGCTGCCCAGAGCCACATCCAGCCTGGCCTTGAATGCCTGCAGGGATGGGGCATCCACAACCTCCTTGGGCAACCTGTTCCAGTGCCTCACCACCCTCTGTGTGAAAAACTTCCTCCTGATATCTAACCTAAACCTCCCTTGTCTCCTCCCCCTTATGTAGGGAAGGAATGCTGCCCATTGTGAGAACTGACAGATGTGATTTTATCAGAGAGGGGGGCACAGAGACACCTGTTTTTGCAGACTAGGCTTCCAAAATCAATGTACCTGCAACGTGATGTAAATACTATGAGCAGTGCAAAATGGCTTCAGATCAAAGTGGAAAGAAGATTGCTAATTGGCGTGGTTGATAATTGCCATTAAACGTGGTGCTTTGGTTAGACATAGGATGGAGAGATGAATTTAATTTGTCTATGGGAGTAAACTGTAATCATTAAAGCTCTATATGAAACTTTGTGTTTTGGGACTTCAAGAATATGGCATAGGGTTGGTTTCTCACTCTAAAAATACTTTAATATTTTAGATTGGCTACAGAGGGAGTTCATGGTACCAATGTCTCTGGATGTGGTGAGACTTTATTTCAGTCACTCATTTATTTCATTATTATTATTATTATTTTTCTTTTCAGATTGAGACTGCAGTTATGGAACAGAGAACCAGAAAATGACAGAAAAATGTTAGATGCTCTCTTCTAGGACACAGTCATGTTGGAAGGGTTGGTAGCCTGGGTCCTCAACACCTATTTGGGCAAATATGTCAATAACCTGAACACAGATCAGCTCTCCGTTGCTCTTCTAAAAGGTGAAGTTCTATTGGGTTTTCTGTAATGTTTTATGCTGTGTTTTAGGGAGAGAAGTCTTTTTGTTTCTATTCCATCTCAGACTTAAACACAATATTAACTGACAGTATTAACATTTTGTGTAAATGCCTCTAATAAAGTTTTGTGCCAGCACTTTGCAGTGAATGGTAAATTCTCTTGCGTTTCTATCTCTGTTGTTTCTTGTCAACATTGTTAAACCAATTTATACAAGATTTTCAGTTGTATGCTTAGCATATCTTAATAGCTCATTTGATTTATGTAATGTTTGGATATCGTTTTCCTTTATGCTGTTCAGTTACTTTCCTGTTGTGGGACTGTGGTGGGGAGAGTTCTGTTGTCTTTACCTCCTCTGTTTTGGTGCTGGTAGTTATTCATTTTCCAACAGTATCTAATTTACTGTTTGCTGCTATTTGCTAATTATGGAGAGAATATTTTGGAATACTACAGAGTTTTTCTTTATGTGCTGTGGTAATATTCAGAAAATGCTTGAAGTTTCCCCTTAGAAGCAGTAGAAGCTGTCTCCTAGATGGTAAAGTTCAGCTCTAAATCCTTGCCTGAGATTGTTTCTAGATGACCTCATCAAATGCTTTGAGTACGTGGCACTAAAAAAATTAATGAGCATGCTGAATATCTGTGACAGTTGTTGCACAAGTTGATGTGGCAGGTTGGCTGTTCTCATGAAATCCTATTCTTTTTCTCCTTTGAAGCATGATGCTGGTTATTTTATAATATTCAAGTTGGCATTTGTAACATAAGTTTACTCAACAGACATGGTTTTTTGGTGTGCTTTTAATAGGTGCTGTTGAACTAGAAAACTTACCACTAAAGAAGGATGCCTTGAAGGAACTAGAGCTGCCATTTGAAGTAAAAGCAGGTATGTATTTTGCCTGTGTGTGCAAGACAAATATTTATAACCAGGAAGGATTGCGTATGTTATGACTTTTACCTGTGAGTCAGAAGCTTGAACAGCTGAAGTAACCTAATTTTAATCCAGTTCTGTTTTAGCTTGTTTATTTCTTACACCTCTTTTCCTTTCAAGTTTTCCAGGAGTCACAGAAGCATTTTTTACACAGGAATCTGAGAGCGTCTCTGCTTTATATTTCTAGGTTTCATTGGCAAAATAACTCTGCAGATACCTTTTTATCGCCCACATGTGGATCCATGGGTAATATCTGTCTCAAAACTGCACCTAATTGGTGCACCAGAAAAAAAGGAAGATTTTGATGAGGAAAAGGAGAAGTTGCAAGAAAGAGAACATAAGAAAGCCCTCCTTGTAGCACTTGAAGAAAAATGGAAGGTGGGTCACAGTTGTTCTTCATACTGAAAAAATTGCTATGGTAAAGAGATGCTGTTTTAAGTCTCCTAACAAGCACCTGAGAACAAATGCATAGGAAACTGAAGTCAGAATTTGATACATGCTAACGCAGTGCAGTTCACATTTTCAGCCCCCTGCATGCATTGGTGGTACTGGAATCTGTTTTTCTTCTTTCTCTTTGTTCAGTAATTTCAGCAAAGCTCATATATATGTGTATTGTTTCCTGCTCAGCTGTTACAGTGTTGGTTAATTCTGATTCCTGTTTTCTTTCTGTTTCATTTTTTTCAGAAAGAACGACAGCAGAAAGGGGAATCTTACTGGTACTCAGTTACTGCATCGGTAGTCACCAGAATCGTAGAAAACATTGAAGTAAGCCTTTATGTTACTGAGCTTTGCCATTCTGCTAAAACAACCAGTGTCCATTGCATTTCACACTGTGTAGTTCTCAGAGAAGAAAGATATGAATGAAAGGTGGATGTTTGACAGAGGACTGTCCCTTTTCAGATGGAATCTCTGTAATTTCGGTCTCAAATTGGTTCTGATAGGGACTGCTGGGAAGGGAAAGCCTTTCGGCCTACCAAGAGAAAAAGAGCAGCTCTTCCTGAATGGTAACACTTGGTGGATAGTGAAAACTGATGGGTTTTGCTCACATTTTAATGCTTTTTATTATAAGCCCACCAAAATGTTGATTTATCAAGAAGAATGGCATGTGTTGTCTTCATAAAAGAGAAGTTATAAAGAAATTAATTGCAGAGTTTCTGCTGATAAATGATTTTGAATATTTGTGTCAGCTCCCAACTTCTTCCATGATTCTTTTTCTGCAGTTATAAAAAATCTGGCATTGCAATCCCTCCTCCATTGCAAAATGACTCAAAAATATGGCTGCTGAGCTCTGTAGGTTTTCTCTTTGGAAGTCCTAATGTAGTTAATGACACTTTGGCACTTGGGTACTGCACATACACGTTATTAATTATTTCTATTTAAGAACCTAAATTGACAAAGTTTGTCTACTGGTCTCCATGAAAAGACTTTTCCTTTCTCTTCTTGGTGCAGATAGAGTGGCTGTATATTTGCTTTTCAGCTCACTAGGGGCAGTTTAGAAGAAGATGCCTCAGCCCAACTGCTTTCCCTGATATATTTGAGAAGGATGTATCTATTGCAAGAGCTCAAGGCAAGGGTGCCTCTGCTTAATGCAGTCTCAGACTTGACACTCACTGAGAAACTATCATGACTGTGTGCTCTCATCCAGGCTGGATGTGGCTCTGGGCAGCCTGGTCTGGTGGTTGGCAATCCTGCACATAGCAGGGGGTTGAAACCAGCTGATCATTGTGGTCCTTTTCAACCCAGGCCATTCTGTGATTCGATGATTCTACGATTCTGTGATTCTCTCTAAGGGTTTACTAATGTAAAATTACTTTTTTGGGTCATCTTTTGCTGCTCTTAGTTTGTAGGTGTGGCCCATACTGATGATTCTGATCTATGAAATGTATTTGAGTCTTTGATTGACAATTACACATTTGTCTTGAAAATGGCAAATAATGATAGCAAAATAAATTACACTGGTGTGCAAGGGGCTAATTGATTGGGGGGAGAGGGGCAGGGAGCTGCACAGCACTGCTGTGTGCTTAACGATGGAAATAGTTGTCTCCAGTAATATATTTATTTTTCATTTTTTAGTTAAAAATTCAGGATGTCCACCTGAGGTTTGAAGATGATGTCACCAATCCGTTGCAGCCTTTTGCATTTGGCATATGCATCAAAAATGTCTCCATGCAAAATGCAGCGTTTGAACCAGTAAGTGTTGTTCAGGAACATGGAGCAGCTAAGATGTGGTGCTGCACCTTATGAGTACTAATAAATATTTGGTTAAAAAGTCTTTTTAATAATCTGGTTATTTTTATAAATTGACAATGGGTGTATCCTGTTATTTTTCAAGTAAGCAGAAGTAAAAACATCATGGATGTATTGTGTAATTGCCTTCATTCAGTCCTTCTATTTCAGGTAGAGAAACTGATGCGGAAAAAGCAGTTAGATGTTGCTGACTTCAGTATTTATTGGGATACAGATTGCACTTTATTGGGTGACCTGCCTCCTGCTCAGCTACAGGTACAAGAGAAAGAGCCTTTTTTTTTCTATCAGTTTGTCTTCTTTCTATACTATAGCCGTAACTGACTTAGATTTTACTGGATCTGGTGCTTTTAAGAGCAGCAGAAATTTATAGTTCATGGCAGAATATAAGGGTAAGCCACAAAAGTTGTGCTGTGAGATACCTTGTGTTTAACCTTTGAAGAGGAAATTTAAGAGTTATTGTAAATGACCTGTTAATGGAGTGTATTCTGATACATTAAACCAATATATCCTAATACATATTGTACACCCATTTCATGTAGAAAAAACATCCTTGTAACCCACAGGAAGCCATGGATAAAAGTATGGAAAGCCATGATCATAATTACATTATGGAACCTGTATGCACTTCTGCTCTTCTGAAGAGGAATTGTTCAAAGGAGCCTTTAAGGTCTCGCCAGACTCCACGACTCGAGTGTGACATTGTGCTTGAGACCATACCCCTGAAGCTGTCCCAGGTAACCACTGTTCACCTTCTCTTCACTCCTAGTATCTGAGACAGATCACTCAGGAGCAGAGTGGGTGAGGCCACTGAGAACTCCTTAGCCTGTCCAAACTAGCTAGGCTGCAAGATTGCTCAGTTATATGTGCTTTATTGAGGCTGCTTGGTGGTCAGGTTCTAACCAAATGACTGATGGAAGAAGGTACTCCTTAGTGGTTTGTTGATCACAGTGTCTGCAGAGTCGCACTGGAAATTTGATACTGGGTTTCCCATTCTCTTCCCACCTGCTGACTGTTGTTCATATGTTCCTGAAGATTCTGCTGGTAAAATCATAGAATGGCCTGGGTTGAAAAGGACCACAATGATCATTGAGTTTCAACCCCCCTGCTGTGTGCAGGGTCGCCAACCAGCAGACCAGGCTGCCCAGGGCAAATGAAAATGAAAGAAAATGAAGTCTTGAATTACGGATCTCTAAAAGAAAAGTTGCTTTTTCAAACAGTGAAATACGTATAGGATTGTTGCAATTTCTTCACCTTCCTGGTTGCAAAACTGGTAGTGTTTGTAACAGATTAAATAGCAGCAGCCTAAAATCAATACTTTCTTAAAGCTTTAGCTTTAGAGACGAGTGAAAGGAGTGTGTTAAAGAATTTGATTTAAAATCAAGTCTTCCAAATAGGAAGCTTTTAAATTGAGTTTCTGCTGGGATAATGTGACACCAGAGAGCAATGATATGATAAACATTGATCTTAATTCTGAAGCTGTTTGCAGACTGTCAGTGCAGATAAACAAAACCTGTGGTTGTTTCACCTCTCCCCCCTCTTTTCATTTGGAAAGCACTCCAATATTGCCTAATTATCTTTCTGCTCTTTAACTAAAAGATGCAGTATCAGCAGATCATGGCATTTCTAAAGGAACTGGCTAGAAAGGAACGGCAGCTTAAATTCAGAAAGTGGAGACCAAAGGTTACAGTAACAGAAAAGTAAGTATATCTGTGGATGTGCTGTTGAATTAGTGTGATATTGAAACCTGCGCTAGGCAGAGTTGAATGAAGACAAATATTTTTAAGAAATGATATAGCAGTCATGTATTAGAATTTAAATTTTCGTGTTGTGTTTCCCTACCTCATAAAACTTCTAAATATGCCCATGTAATCCAAATTGAATAGCACAAGTTTGATACTACTCAACTTGTAGAACAAACCCATATGTGCTGTCTGTAATACCAGTGCCTTTTCTGACCAGTTCCCTTTGTTTTCTCACTGGGCTCCTTTTGGACCAGTTTGACATGCATTCTTCCTTTTTTTTCTTGTTATTTTTGGTAAATATTAGTGCTCTAATAACTTTGAAACATTTCAGCTGCCGAGAGTGGTGGATCTTTGCTTTGAATGCCAACCTTTCGGAGATCAGGGAGCAGAGGCAGCGTTCCACATGGGAGTTTGTGTTACATCGGGCCCAGGATGCAGTATCTTATACTGACTTGTATTATTGCAAGTTGAAGGGGGAGCTGCTCACTGCTGCAGAGCAGGTATTTAGATCTGGGATTTTGTGGTGTAGATGAATTGTCTTGTATCATTTTGGGTTTTTTTACCTCTTTTTTCCTCCACTTAATGTTAGGCTTGAGAATTTAGGAGGAGAACGTAATGAACCTGTGTTCTACTTTAGGAGGGAGAAACCATGTGGGCTGTAATTAATTGCTTCCTACCTCTTGGAGCAGTGAGACTTTTTCTTTAAATCCATCATGCACACTTTATGCAATCTTACTGAAACCTGAATTTGTATGTTCACATTATTTAAATGTAAACTGTAAGGGTAGCTCACATACTGGGTGCTTTTATAATAACTATCAAAGCAAGAACCATAATACAAAATACAAGAATTTTAGTTTATGCAGTGTCTTCAGCAGAGCTGTGAAACATAACAGTGGCAATGCCATTGGAAAACTATACTTGGTTGATCCATAAGCTTCCAGAAAGAGCTTCTTAATCAGTGTGGAGAGGATAAAGTCAAATGCCATGACACCAGGCTTAAGTAACTGAATATGAATTTTACAAATTTCAACTACTTTGATATTCAAGATAAAATGTTCTTTGCTCATCCTTCCATGGTTTAGATTTTGTGCTGAACCTTGCTCTTGATTCATGACAGGAGGATATCATTGGTTTTTACTACTGAAAGTATATTAAAATAATGTATGTTACAGTACAAAGGGATTTGAGGTAGGGAGATTATCAGTATTATGGTTGCCTGTGTGATTTCCTGTGCTTAGGCATTTGGATCCTGACATGAGCACTGTGTTAGTTTTGCCATGAATCCTAATTGTATAGTAGAGATGTTAAATGTTTTTGAGAGCCAAGATACTGCATTCTTCTAGAACAGCTACTTTACCTTTTTTGTCTTCTTAGGCAGAAATGCATCGCATTGAGGATGAGCAAACTTATGAAGAATTGAAGATCCTCTGTGAGATAGTTCATGATAAATTTCATGACATAGCTGAGGTGAGAAGCATTCTGCATCTATGGCAGTATTGAAAATCTTGATGTGAATTATTTTGAGTTGTGTTCACTCCTAGAGAGTGTTAGCTTGTATTTGTTTTGATTTTTGAAGTATGGCATCAGTGCTAACATTGGAGTAATCAAGCATTGTTTGCACTGTCAGTTTTGTGTCACCTTTCATCGTGAGTTTGTGACCATCATATAATAGTCTTCTTCAATAGTACTCTTGCCAGCATTTGTTCCATCTTAGAAACTGGTATACTGAATGTAAGAGTGTTAAGTAGGTAGAATCATATTTAAGTTTTGTGTGCTTGTGATGTTCTTCCATTTATAAGCATTTATGTCTTTAATGTTCATATACAGAGCATTAAAGAACCATTGCCTGATTCTCCTGGAGCTTCTCCTTCAGCAGAATCTGCACATGGCAGTAGCACTGGGATGCTGCAGTACCTTCAGTCTTGGTTTCCTGGTTGGGGAGGTTGGTATGGATACACGCAACAGCCATATGAAGGTGAACCTTTTGAAGGGCTTTTGCCAGACCCACAGGAGCAGTGGAATCCAGAAGACATACTAGGTATGACAGTGTGGGATTTTCTGTTTCTTTTTAAGGCTGCTCACAAGCATGAACAGGAATAAAACCCTCTTCAATACAATGTATCCTTATTACTAAAATGATATATAGAATACATCTACTTCTAAATGCTTTAGATATTTATGGCAAAGAGTTTTGAGACATTTCCATTGAAGTGGGTAGGGGTAATGTGTGCTGTGATTGTACTGGGTTGTTGGGGCCATCTTAAATTTGGGTTTATTGCTCCTTAATTGAAATGGGAAAGTTTTGCTGAGCGTTCAGTTTTGTTAAGGAAGGAGGTGCATGTGCATGGATTTTTGTTTCTTTTTTTTTACTCCCCCTTAGATATGGGGAAATAGTCATCTTACAATTCAAAGAAACCTTTCTGTTCTTTGGTAACCTTCCAGAAACTTGAGCTATGTTACATAAATGATCTTTTGTTGTTGTTTTTTATTAGGTGCAGATGATTTTTTTGATCCTGCTGCAGATGCCTCCAGCATGAATACATTCACAAAAAGGGATCATGTATTTGCTAAGCTAAATCTGCAGTTGCAAGGTGGCTCTTTCACTCTGTTGCATAAGGAGAAGAAAGTGGCGCGTGGTGAGGAGAGTGCTTTTATGCAGCTGGAGTTTTCAGGTATTGAGTCAATTTCTGTTTGCTCTTTGTAATAAAAGAGGAGCTTTGTCCACCTTGTGACCTTCCTCTAACTCTTGTTTTTAATCCAATAACATTTCTATACTGAAACCAAGTTTAAAATGAGTACATCAAGTCAGCTTGTAGAAGTGAAAATAGAAATAAATGCTATGCTGCCTACTAGGAGAAATAAAATGATTTTGTCTTTGTGTTCCAGGTGTGAAGATCTTAGCAGAATCCCTTCCTCGCAGAAATTCTTCCCTTCTAAAAGTTCAGCTTGGTGGTCTTTTCCTGAGGGATTTGGCAACAGAAGGGACCATATTCCCTGTCCTTGTTTTCCCTAATCCTGTAGGTGAACAAACCCTGAGTTACTGTGTAAGATGTTTACTTTTTTCATAAATCACACATTACAAAATGCAACACAGGTGTTTCCCTTGGTTTGTGTCTTATCCCTAAAAGAGAAAATGAGCTTTGAAGAAAAATCTCTATTTCTTGAATATACTTTTGCCCTCCCTTTTTAAAGGTAACTCATAGAAATCTCCACTGTTTGCTCTGTGTGTGTGCTTGCAACTTCAACATTACTGTTACACATGGGGAAGAGAATAATATACTTGAACAAGCTTTCATTTTGGAGCAGTCAGCATTGCTGCTTAATCAGTAATTGGTCATTTTCATAGAGCTGTTTGCTCCCAGTAAGTAAGGATTTATTTCACCTGCTTGCTGTGTCACCATGAATAGAAATACAGAAGCAGGAATGCAAAAGCTATTTCTTTTTCTTAATGAATAACTGTAGACATCTGAAATATCTCTTCTAAGCAGGATAAAAAGTTTCAGTCTAGTTCTATGACAATTTTATCCTGCTTTTGGTTTTTAGTTTGTAGAAAACAGACTGAAACTTGCACTTCAGACTTTGGCTGCTGCATGAGATAGTCGTGATTCCTTCTTGTTTGACTGTATCAAGGAAAAAATGCATAAAATGGTCTCAGACAATACATATGATTCACTTAAAATGACCACAAGTCTGATAAAGGAAAAACTTCCTTGTTTTGAGTTGGTTGACTTTTTTCTAACTTTTTTTTTTTCTCTCTTAAATTCTTCCAAGCAAAAAGAGGTTGGCTGCGTATCTTCCTTTGGGCTCCAGAATTTGTCATCTGAAATGACGAACCAAAACACTGGTAGGTACTTGATTCTGTTTGAATAAAGGAAGTGTGCAAGATCATTTGTACCAACCAGAAATTAGTTATTCAGTTTGGGGGTTTTTGATTTTTGTGTCTGTTTTGTTTGTTTTTTTGGTGATGTTTTTTTTGTGTGTGATTTGTTGGTTTTTTTTTTCTCCCTCAGTTGTTTTGTTGTTTGTATAACTTGTTTTGTATTCCGTTGCAGATCCCGATGCCCCAGTGTTTGAGATGCTCTATGAAAGAAATCCTATCCACAGCAATTTTGAGAGGCGCCTGGAAGTCAGCACCAGACCCCTAAATATTATTTACAATCCCCAAGCCATTAAGAAAGTAGCCGACTTCTTCTACAAGGGAAGGGTTCATACCTCAGGTTAACCTTTAACATATATTTTCGTGTGGCTTTTTGTTTTTTTCTTTTTTGTGATATATATCTTTATTTTTATCCTTAGAAATTTAAAGCACAAATCAAATCTCCTCTTTTAAATTCGAATTTGGATTTCTGAGATTTCTGAGAAGTCTCTGAGTGATTTTCCTGTTTAATCAATTTCCCTTGGACAGACTCCTGTAACTTTCACTTTAAAATTGCAAGTTGTTGCTATACTACATGATGAATGTTCGTGCCACCTAAATTAAAATACCTAAATAAGGCAGAACACTTCTGTAAGCTTTCCTGGAAAAGGATGGAGAGCAACAAGTTATTCTGGAGTACAAATAAATACAGGCAAAATCATGTTCTTATCTTACATTTTATTGCTAAAATGAAGTGATTCTCTGTCAAAATAAATAAAAATAAGTCTTTTTTTTCCTCCTGATTAAATAACAGCTAAACAAAATTAATACCTATTTCTTTTTTAAATCTCCTGCACAGGTTTTGGATATCAGTCTGAGTTAGAGGCCAGAGTGGCTGAAGCTGCCAGAAGACAGTACAACAAGCTGAAAATGCAGACGAAAGCTGAAATCAGGCAAACTATTGATCGTTTGCTAGTAGGAGACTTCATTGTAAGTTGTTGGCTTACAGTGTTGGTTGTGTTGGGTTTCTTGACAAATTAGCACTTAAAATTATTGAGGGTTTAGCACTTAAAACCCTCAATAGTGGAGTTGTATTTTTCTGCTATTGAGTGTGAGATGTGACAGTGGAAAAGTGCCTAACTAGAGTGATATGTTTGGCATGGCATTTTTATTTGATCTTATTTCTATGTTGTGAATCATTCTTTCTTTCTTAAACTTCCAGGAAAACAGCAAGAGCTGGACAGTGTGCCTTGATATTTCTGCCCCTCAGGTGATCTTTCCTGATGATTTCAAATTTGTGGATCCAGTGTTAGTTGTTATAGATCTGGGAAGAATATTGCTTACCAATTCTCAAGGTATGGTCTAGTATTATTTCAGTTTTCATTTTCTTTCCACTTTCTCCCAGGAAACTCCTGTTCCTCTGTGGAAAGTAGAGATATCTTAAGAGTTGTTCCTCTGCAGATGTGTAGTTTCACAAACAATTCTGCTGTTAGTGATAATTTTTGAATTAAAATTTAGCTGGTGTTTTTTAAAAGTAATGGAAAGTGGGACATGGGTTTTCTTTGGAGCAGGGGGATCTAAGGTTACTTATTAAATGAAATAATCTCCTGTGACAATTTTATACCCCTTGAAGGCTTTGAGCAGGTGTGAAGCTGGTGTTTCAGGCACTTTACCACAGATGAGATTTTTGTTTTGGGGGATAAAAATTTAGCTGTTTAATACTTTTTGGGGACAGTATTCAAAGTGAGAGTATGCTTTGAATACACTCCAGCTATGAAGTCATAACTCTGTTGTTAACACAGTGTTAGCTGTGTGTGCAGCTAACTAATAGAAATGAATGGAAAATTGTGTCCTTTGTTTATGTTAGAAGTTAAAATCATTACTACTTAAATAACTCATTGCGTCTTTCCTGTTCCACTGGGAAAACAGTGGATGACAATTAAAAAGAAATCTGAGTGGACTTTGAAATAACATTAGGTCTGTTTAGAATCTAGCTGAACTCTATGGTGCATGCCAATACGTTTAAATATTAAAAAAATGAAAGAGATACTAATGGGATATTCATTTAATTTTTAAAAAGTACAGTTGCAGGGTGAGTAGTTTTGTGGTGCAGTGAAAAGTCAAGGTGTTGAGCTCAGAATTGTCTACAGTGATGTTTTGTCTACTGTGCAGTAACTTCTGTGTTAGGGCAAGCTAGAACAAGAGCAAAAATTGTTTACAGAAGATACATCTTTGTTTCCCTTTGGAACCAATGCATCAGCCTGGTAGGATTAGCTTGAGCTACAGGGAAAATTGGAAGATAGAATACCTGCTTTGTGGAGTAGAAAAAATCATTTTCTCATGATAAAAAGAAGTTTAAAAATATACAATATAAAATTAAGTTGTCACATATTGGATCAGCAATATATTGTAGTTAAGTATTTCTTTTAGGTGATTTTAAGGAATTTATGATAAAATCCTAAAGAGTCTTGAAAGGCTTGCATAGGTAGGTTAATAGATTATTTCATTTCCTTATTAAACAACTTCTGATAACAGTAAAGCTTGTAGTAATAGAAAGTGGATTAAAAAATGAGAAAATAGTGTCTTTTAATAGATTTTTTTTAATACATTGTGACTGACATCTGCGTCCATGTAAAAGAAGTGTAGTAGATTTCCTGTTGAGAAAAGAGAAAGTGACAGTGGAAGGGGCAAGGACAGTACCGGATGTACCCTGTGTTTTAAAAATACAGCATCAATCAGGATGATCAGGTAATGATGGGAAATATGCAAGGAGGGGGGGAATACTTCTGTTTGTTTATTTATTTGTTGGATTTTTTTTTAATCCACAGAAGAATCTAAAAGGAATGTGGATGCTTTTTCACCAGAATTCAATGAGTTAAGTGATGAGGAATATAAAACACCTCTTGCAACTCCTCCCAATACTCCACCACCTGAAACCAACACTAACAGTGGAATCAAACTCTCTGAATTTACTGGAGTAGAAATAAGTGAAGAGCAGTTACAAGCACACTTAATGAGTAAGAAAATGTATGAGAGATACACGCTTTCATTTCTGGATCTTCAGATCATGGTGGGCCGAGTGAAAGACAACTGGAAACACGTTCAGGATAGTGATGTGGGTCCAACACATGTGGTAGAAAAATTCAATGTTCACCTGCAGTTGGAGCGCAGATTGATATACACATCTGACCCCAAATACCCAGGAGCTGTCCTGTCTGGCAGTCTACCGGACTTGAAAATTCATATCAATGAAGATAAAATATTGGCTTTGAAGAACTGTTGCACACAGCTGAGTGCATCTGAAACAAAGTCATCAGATGGCCTAAATTTAGGGAAAGATAAGATTTTTTCAGAGGTAGACCAGCTTGGCACTTTGCATGATTCTGTAATGAATCTAACGCAGAGTGTTGTGATGCTCGAGCAGCATACCAGGGAAGTTCTTGTTGAATCTCAACTGCTACTGGCTGAGTTCAAAGTAAACTGTATGCAGCTGGGAGTTGAAAGTAATGGACGGTATATCTCTGTACTGAAGGTTTTTGGCACCAATGCCCATTTTGTGAAAAGGCCTTACGATGCAGAAGTGTCTCTAACTGTTCATGGACTGTTACTTGTCGATACTATGCAAACATATGGAACAGACTTTGATCTTTTGATGGCTTCTCATAAGAATCTGAGTTTTGATGTACCAACAGGAAGTCTCAGAGACAGCAGGGCTCAGTCACCAGTTTACGGACCGTGTGATGCACATCCCATTGATGCATCCAGTCTGACAGAGAGATGTGCTGCTGCATCAAATACTTCATCTGGCAACAATGGGAAAGATCAAGAGTCTTTGATAAAATTAGAGTATCAGTTTGTGAGTGCAGAATGCCCGTCAATGAATTTGGATAGCAGCCTGCAGGTGATCTCTGTACAGGTGAACAACCTGGATATCATCCTCAATCCAGAGACAATTGTTGAACTGATTGGGTTTCTCCAGAAATCTTTCCCAAAAGAGAAAGAAGATTCCAGTCCTCAACCTTTAATGGACGACACGGAAAGAGATTGGAGGGAACAGGAAACCTTTCAGTCTACTTATGTACAGAATACAGAGGTAGCAGTTGATATTCACTGGTTGAATATCCTCCTCCTCAGGACAGTTGGAATGACAAATGGAGAAAAATATGGCAGAAAAATTGCAACAGCCAGTATTGGTGGTACCAAAGTCAATGTTTCCATGTGTAGTAAATTGGATGTGAATGGCTCTCTTGGATGTCTTCACCTGACTGATTTAACACAAGACAGTGTTAAGAACCAGTATGTTGTCAGCATAGGGAATACAGGAAGGTATGAAAATCTCATTGGTGATGTAGATTACTTTGAATCTTTATTCTTTAGACTCGATGATGAAAGTAGCCTTCCAGATGCGTTAAGTTTCACTCTGACCGAAAAGTCAAAAGAGGAATGCTCTCTCAATCTCAGAATGGCCTCCTTACACTACAACCACTCTGCTAAATTTCTGAAGGAACTGACTTTGTCAATGGATGAATTGGAAGAGAATTTCCGCAGCATGCTGAAAAGTGCAGCTTCAAAAGTTACTACAGTCTTGGCAACTAAAACTGCTGAATACAGTGAAATGGTTTCTTTGTTTGATACGACGCCAAGATCAAGAGATGTTGCCAACTTGGAAGATCATGATGGCTATGCATTTGGGTCACCACCTCTCAAAAGCGATACTATTAAGCTTATATTGAACATCAACATTGAATCACCAATTGTCTCAATACCTCGAAAGCCTGGTAGCCCTGAGCTGCTTGTAGGTCACCTAGGACAAATATCTATTCAGAATTTTGTACCAGGAGAAGATGAGTCTACAAGTGATAGACTGCAAGTTGAAATAAAAGATATTAAAATGTATTCTTTAAATACCAGTCAGTTTATGAGCAAGAAGGAGTCTGCAAGTGAAGTATCTCAAGGTCTTCATTCTTCAGGTCCTGCCAGTATTAATAGCCAGGAGGAATCCCAATTTACTCGTCATGACTTCTTTGAATCATTACATAAAGGCCATGGTATGTTAATCAAAGGACTCCTTATTATTTTTAATATTAATGGTAGAGAGGACTAAAAGTTGTTTTGATTGTAGGCTTGGTTATGTACTGCTTCACCCCATCCTCCTGAAATATGCTGCTCTATTTTAAATAAAATGGGCAAGTTCCTTTATTTGTATCCATTTTTATTTTCCTAATCAAGAACTGAATAATGTCTTCCATGCAGAAATTTAACAAAACAGGACCAAGATTGCTGAGAAATCTTGGTTAATAGCTCCTGCATTATCCCTGCTGTGCAGCCCTTATACGATAATCAATTCATGTGTTATAATATTGTTCTCATTTCACTTTTTCTTAACAGCTTTCCACATCCTGAATAACACCACCATCCAGTTTAAATTAGAAAAGATACCACTAGGGAGAGATTTAGATATAACATTCCCACTGAGTAATGAAGACTTTGGAATATCAAGCATCATGAAAATTGAAGGGAAATTTGTGAACCCTCTTCAGGTATGGTAACTTAGTAGTCCTGTTATCAATATAAACATTTTTCTCCATATTGGATACGAATTTTTCAGAGAAATATCTTCAAATATAGGTATTATTTCAGTGTTACAGAGAGCTACTATGTTGACTGTGGTTGTTTTTTTCTGTATCATAGGTTGTGTTAGCAAAACATGTGTATGAACAGGTCCTGCAAACTCTGGATAATTTAATTTACAATGAAGACTTGAACAAATTTCCAGCTGTTACTGCATCTTCGACTTGTCACAGTTCTCCATCAGCATCAGCTCTTAGTACAGGCACAGAATTCTCAAGTGAGCGGAAGGAAAATGGCTTATTCAGCCACTCCAGTTTTAATTCTGTTCCAAACAAGTCATTGGCTATCAGAGAAACAAAGTCTTTCACTCAGATTCAAGCAAACTTCCACATCTCTGAGCTCCAGGTTCAGTTAAGTGGCGATCTTACACTCGGTGCACAAGGCCTTGTCAGCCTTAAGTTTCAGGATTTTGATGTTGAGTTTACTAAAGATCATCCTCAGACTTTGTCTATTCAGATTGCCTTGCGTTCACTGCTAATGGAAGATCTTCTAGAAAAAAAACCAGACTCTGTGTATAAGAATCTGATGGTGTCCCGTGGAGCACCCAAGCCATCCAGTTTAGCACACAAGGAATACCTTTCACAGTCATGTCCCTCAGTATCCAATGTTGAATATCCAGATATGCCACGCTCTCTGCCATCTCATATGGAAGAAGCATCCAATGTCTTTCAGCTTTACCAAAGACCAGTTTGTGCCTCACGTAAGAAGCAAAAAGAAGATGCTGATTCTGAATACCCCCTGACTCCACCTCCTTCTCCAACAGCAGATAGATCCAAGCTGCCTTGTGGAAAAAGTCACTTTGATGATTCATTAGTTCATATCAATATATTTCTAGTGGATAGGAAACATCCTGAGTTTTCCTCTCGCTATAGCAAGATTAATCGGAGCATAGATGTTGATTTCAATTGTCTGGATGTCTTAATAACTCTGCAAACCTGGGTAGTGATACTGGATTTCTTTGGGATTGGATCCACTGCTGATAACCATGCGATGAAGCTGCAACCTGAAGATACTCAGCACACATCTAAGTCAGAAGTAAATACCTCGTCTGTTTCTGCAGCCCAAGAGCCTGTAAACACTAAGCTGGATTTGAAGGTATCGTGCCTGAGATGCAAAATCATAAAAATATTGTCTACCATAGAACTTCTGCTTTGTGGAAACTTAAGTCACAGTTAAAACAGTAGGTTTAGAATGTGTGTGTATCTGGGTTTTGTGGGGAAGAAGTTGCAGAAAAAATTTATTTGGAAATGGATTGGCTCCCTTGCTCTGTCATCCTCTGTACACATGTGTATATGTCTCTTAAAGAGAGGCTAAAGTAGTACATTCCATGTTCATCTATATGGAGCTCTCCTGGATAGAGTGAGAGCCTAGAGAAGTGCAAGTCCTGTGGGAGGTGGTTTTTATTTCCCTGGGGCAACACAAGGCAGAACCTCAATGTTGGCGATCTCTGAAGAAGTTACCTTTCCTTAGTGCTGACATGCTGGAAATTGGAACAGCTGTTCTGGGTGCTGTGGAGTGTACTTCAAAAATATATGCATATATATGCTTCTATAGTTTTATATACATGTATGTTTATGAATGTATAGACATGTATTAATATAGTCACTGTCCAGAGGTGCTGTAGGAAACATCCCTGGAGGCATTCAAGGCCAGGCTGGTTGTGGCTCTGGGCAGCCTGGGCTGGTGGTTGGTGACCTTGCACGTAGCAGGGGATTGAAATTAGATGAGCATTATGGTCCTTTTCAACCCCGGCCGTTCTATGATTCTTTGTTAACAAATGTCAAATCTTGACAGAGGACAAAGATAACAGTGCTGGGATGTGTTGATAACCTGACTGTTCTAAGGTATTTGGGAGAATTTAGCCTGCAAACAAAAATGCAAAAAGGCTGCTTTCATCCATTGTCCTAATCAGATCATTCTTTGAGTTGTAATGAAATTGTCTTGGAAAAAAAAACCAACAGGACAGTCCAATTGTGAGCTCACACTGTGTAATACCAACCTGTTTCTTTTTGCTTGACCAGGTCCATTCTTTGTCTTTAGTACTGAACAAGACAACGAGTGAGCTCGCTAAAGCCAGTGTGTCAAAACTTGCAGCTCACTTGGAAGTAATTGGTGAGTAGATGGGAGATCTGAGGTTATACATGATTTAAAATAAAAGGAGATGTACTTTTCAGTTGTGGTTTGAAGTGTTTTGTGTTTGCTGCTCATTGTTCTAGGTTTCTGCTTGTATGTCCTGTTTCCAGGGAATGTGATGCTTCTATTCCTCCCCATTGAGATATTTCAGGATTGACTTTAAATTCTTGCAGTCCTCCCAGTTGCAGAGCAGCACAATAGTGTGAATTACTGTTTCAGAGGAAGAAAAGTTCACAGAGTGCTATGATCACTGTGTGTGCAGATGATAGGGTTGCATTTGGGTTAATGTTTGTAGCAAATTGTTTCAGTATCAGGTTTTACATTTAATTAGTCCTTTGTTGAGTTACTTACAGTAGTTGAGTTTATTCCACAAGCTTATGGAAAGACTGGGTTTTCAGCAAGGTATGTTTGATGCTCACAGCTGTTTGGATCTTGTTTTGCAGATGGGGATTTAGCCCTGCAGGGAAGCATTGGAGGTCTGTCCTTAAGTGACCTTACAGCTCACGGGGAGTTTTACAGAGAACGTTTCACTACGAGTGGTGAAGAAGCACTCATTTTTCAAGCTTACAAGTATGAATTGAAACCTCTGGTTACTGGCCTGAGTCCTATTAACAAGATACTGTAATATAGGCTATATTTTTTTGTAACTGTTGAATTTATATACTGTGAGCACCAGTTAAATCCTGTTCATTATTGTTTTGTGAGTGAGTAACGAATGGCTCTATTTGTAAAGTGGTGTTAAGACAGAAAACTAAATTCTACTTTGGTCCTCTATCACAGATACGGGCGGCCAGATCCATTGTTGCAGAGGGAGTGTGATATTCGTGTCACTCTCCGGATGGCATCTGTTCAGTATGTACACACCCAACGCTTCCAGGCCGAAGTGATTTCCTTCATTCAGCACTTCACTCAGCTTCAGGATGTCCTGGGCCGGCAGAGAGCAGCAATTGAAGGACAAACAGTATGTTGGGGTGTTGTTTTTTTTCTTTTCTATTTTTTCCCAGCAGACTTTTGTAAGTTGAAATGAATTTTTCGTAATGAATCCTTTTTTAAGCAGTGAGTTGTCACAGAGTTGTCTTATTCCTCTTCCAGCACAGTCTGGACAGTGCAATTTAATGTTGATTCTGGCACCTGTTGCACTGGTGTTTGCTGTTTCCATCAATCTTTTTGAATTGTACTTTGTTCTCTGCTGAAGAGTTCAATTTCCCTTTTAAACTTACTGTATAAAATCATTACAGCATTTTGTCTTAATTTTATAAATTGTGTTCCTGAATTCAGTACTAATCAGTGTGGAATAACCACCTATTTCCTGTAAACTTGAATTTCTAAATGTGTTTTACATGTAACAATGACAGAAAACCCCAAGAAGAATCTCTTTCATTATTTTAATCTGAAAATGTTACGATAAACACTTTATAAAAGTACTAAAAAAAAATAAACAAAAAAAAAACAGCAAAGCATGGAATGTGCTTCCAAGTTGCTTTGATGCTTCAACTATTTCAATATTTGTAGGGAACATATAAATAGGAGGGGGAATGGCTGTTTATGGGAGTGGATAGTGATAGGACAATGGGGAATGGTTTTAAACTGAGACAGGAGAGATTTAGGTTAGATATTAGGAGGAAGTTTTTCACTCAGAGGGTGGTGAGGCACTGGAACAGGTTGCCCAAGGAGGCTGTGATGCCCCATCCCTGCAGGCATTCAAGGCCAGGCTGGATGTGGCTCTGGGCAGCCTGGGCTGCTGGTTGGTGACCTGCACATAGCAGGGGGTTGGAACTGGATGAGCATTGTGCTCCTTTTCAACCCAGGCCATTCTATGATTCTATGAACCAAGTTTTCAAACAAACGTTTGCTCTCTCTTAGGGCAGCCTGGTCTTGTAAGAGGTGTCTGCCTATAGCAGGGGGGTGGAACTAGATGATCTTAAAGGTCCCTTCCGACTCAAATCATTCTATGATTCTAGGTGAGAGATAAAGCTCAGCGAGCTTCCCGGGTTCTCCTTGATATTGAGGCTGGTGCTCCTGTGCTGCTTATACCTGAAAGCTCAAAATCCAACAGTCTTATTGTCGCCAATCTTGGAAAACTGAAAGTGAAGAACAGATTTCTGTTTGCGGGTATGCCAGGTACCTTCTCACTGAAGAACAAGGTAAGAACATTACTTCTCAGTTTCCGTGCTTGGGACTTTTCTGGTTCTTCTCTCTATATTCTGGAGCTGGCTGCAGGTTCTTGTACCAGCTGCTCCGTTCTGCACATGCAGTGCTTGCTTTTTGAGGCCTTCGGGACAGTGGCAGATTGTGCTGATGGAGCTGGCCTTGTTGGAAAGCTGGATCAGCTGGGTGCACGCCTGCATGTGGGAACATAAAAGACTTTCAGCTAGACCTCCTTCTTCCATATAATAGCATAGAATGGAGATACTTCAGAGCTGAAAGTTGTTGGAAAATGCTGGAGAACAGAAATTGTTTTAGTTTGTTTTTTTTCTTTCTGCCTTTAATTAATGAAACCAAGTATGTGTGGTTGGTTTCACTAGGTGAAACCTAACGAAAGGCTTCCAGTATAGGTTTGAACCAAGGTTCTAAGTGCAAGAAAGGAAACTTTGAGGTTAGGAAAATCTATCTGGGAAGGGCTTCTAGATCTAACCTGTGCAACAAAATGGGTGATTGTTCTGGCTATCACTTATTCCCTTCTTAAAGAGGGGATGGGGCTCAAGTGACCTGCCATTGCTGCAGGATTTTTGTCCATTACTGCTGTATGATTAATACCTAACAATGCCTTTACTGAAAGACAGCATTAGATTGTAATACTGACTTGTCTTCTGAGTTCTGGTTGTCTTCTGCACTCTATTGTGCAGGTATATGTAAAGATTGATAAATGGAACATCCCCCAGATCATGTTGGGAGGGTACAGAAAATGTGTATGTAGCAATTTTATTTCATTTTAAAAGGACTGTGTTATGTAGCACTCAGATATTTGGTGTTTTAGAACAGAATAGACGTGTTTTAGTGTTGGGTGTTTTGATGCAGGGCTGGGTTTTGTTTTTCAGTTTTGCATTCTTTTGTTTTCATTTTTTTTCTCTGCCTTGTTTATTTTTTGAGGATCTGATTTTGCAAGGCAATGCATACAAGGATCCAGTTTTATTTGAGGTATTTCACATCTTTGTGATAGTGTTAAGGTGCTCCTCATTAACTAAAAAATCCTTGTGGAATTTAGCACTTAAAAAGTCCCTATCTACATTAATGTGTAAAGAATTTGCTGAATTCCATAACATTTTGAGTTGAATTTATTATTGTGTGCTGTTTATGCGTGTTTGAGGAGCTATTAATCTGGGTTTGCCTAAACTCATGGGTTTACAGATGATGTGATGTCTTCTCTTTGCATGTCCTTTGCAGTCTTGTTTTATAGGGCCATGCTAAATGCTCACATTTTCAAACTGTTGCTCTTGAAGTTTGCTTTTTTCTCTTCTGGACATTTTAAGAATAAGGATGAGGATTTTTTTACAGCTTTAACTCAGCTCCTGCAGAAAAATTCTGGGACATGTTTTGATATCATGGCTGACACACCTAAAACAATATCACACACAGAAGTGTTTATTCCCTTACTCTAATAAATGTTAAATTGCTGACATGGTCTTGCAGAAATCACTGCATATTGAAGATATTCTGCAAAACAGCTTTTAAAATATTTTTCCTATCTTTATTGTACAGGAATGCATGATATCTTGACAGTCTTAGCCCATTTGTGATGTTAATTTCATTTATATGGGATTTTTTTGGGAGCTTTTGTGAAAAAAAAAAAAAAAAAAAAAACACATTTTGAATTATTTTCTCCTTGGGAATGTTTCACATTTTCCTCTTCCTTTGAAAATGCTTCTGAAATGATATATATAGCTTTAAAGGCAATGTTTTTTTCTGTGAAGGTGATAGGAGGAAAGCTTGACCATCTTTCTGCAGTGTAAAAAATAATGTAATTCACAGAAAACATTTATTTTTTGGTCAAGGACTTGAATGTATTGGGCCCTTAGTATTTAAAGGGGAAAAGCTATTGTTAATCATAGAATTGCTTTCATTAGCAGGATTCCGTTCAGTTTTCATCTCCTTTGGGAACTCCAAAGCACAGCATGAAGAAAACCACGAGTACAGATGAATCCAAAGTAGTGATGGAAGGATTGTTCATGAAAAAGCCATCAGGAGGAAATGTTTCTAGGCTGAAGAGTGAGCTTAATTCATTGAGTAAGCCACAAGGACAGCAGTCCAAATTACCTGTAGTACCAAACCCTGAGAGCCCAGGTATGTTACGAACAGTAGGAACCCAATTTAGTTCTTTGTGTAGAATAATGCAGTGCTATTTCACATATACCTTTTGAATAGAAAGTGCTTGGTTTAAAGATTTTAGGTTTAAGAGTAAGTAACTTGTTAGTTTGTGTAGATTTGCAGCCTGAAGGACTAGAGAATTTTAGTGCAGTTTCTGGAAGAACATTGCTGCAGGTTGGGTGTGTTTTAAGATGGGTATTATGAACATAAGGAGTACTGGGGACTCATAGTTAAGTTCACTTTTACCCAAGCTTGGTATCTGATAGTTACAGATATTGATGAGTGTGAATAAATATCAGAATAACTTCCAGGAGAAACTAAATGTCTTTTTTTAGGTAAGTTGCATTAGTTTTGCAAATTCTTTATTTCTTTTTGCTTTATTTTTTTTTCTTGTTTAATGTGTTATCTCCTGTGCACTTGCAGAGGATCACATCTGCCTCTTAGACTGCATTGTGGTTGATCTGCAGGACATGGACATATTTGCTGCAGAGAGATACCCGAGAGAGTATTCCAAGGCTGTGGAAGACACAAGTACAGACTTGAGCTTTCCATCCTATTGTGTGAGGCAGACAGGAGGAAGTCTATTGAAAGAACCTTTCAGGCTGAAGTTGCAAGTAGAGAGAAACTTAGACAAGTGAGTTGATCCAAGTGGGATCTTTTTATGCTGTATAGGAAACACGCAGTGTTTCACATTCCTTCTTATGTGTCTTAGAGTATTCCCTGCTGTGTTGTAGTATCTTGAAAACCTGTTTCTTTTCTTTGCTGTAGAGAGCTGAGTCATGCAGTTGCAGACATATTGATACACGGCAGTCTCTCATCAGTCCATTGCTCTCTGGATTTGCCTAAATACAAACTGATACGTGGCTTGCTGGAGAACAACCTTGGGGAACCTATCGAGGAGTTCATGCGACCTTATGACCTGCAGGATCCAAGAATTCATGTAAGAGGAACTGCAGGTTTATGCAGTTGGAATTCTGCCCTGAAATACTACATTTCCTGACTGGGCACAGCATCTGTTAATTTGTTGTAGTGCATAAGGTGGACTAATCAATTTAAAAACAAGACAAAAAAAAAACTAACAGAGGAACAGTGAGAAACGTTCTAACCTGTAGATACTGCTGAGAGTTGAGAGTTTTATTTTGTAATACTTTTGTCCTTCTAACTGTGGCTTGCAGATATAAAACCATATTTCTGAGATTCTCAACTTCAGAAGAGATGTGAGAAATAGGTGCCATTGTTTGCCTTTGTTAGTTAATTTTTTAGATTAGCTCAATCCAAAAAAAAAAAAAAAAAGAGAGAAAAAAGTTACATCTGTGAAAACTGTACTTCAGGACTTCAGGGCTTTTTTTGTCTGAGGTGTTTGTGCTCAGCTGTTATTGCAGCATGCTATCACCACATTAAGAAGCTTAAGATTTTTCCATAGGAATAGAACTTTTTGAAGAGATTTGAAGGTTCTCCTGTAAGCATGTGGAGAGTGATGGAACCTTTCCTATTGTGTCTGTGACGTTCTTAACGATTTATGAAGCTGCTAAAAGATCAAATGGAACATTTATTACTTTTTGTCAAAACCCCTCATCTTACAAATCCAAAAGAAGAATTTCAGTAATAAAAGCAGAGCCTTTTTCTTTTTTGAGTAAGTTATCAATTATTGCCCATCATCTAGGGCTGTAGTTAAACACAGTCCATTAGGGAGAAGCATGGGCAGCACCTGGAAATAATCATCATTTATCCTTATTAGTGGGAAGCATTGTTTTCACTTGATCTTGTGAGGCTTCCAGGCATTGTGTTGCACAACTGTAATTTTTGGAATGAAATGTGTGACCACAGCAGGGGAAGATGCTGCGAAATGTCTTTTTCTTTCTCTCAGCAATGTTTAATTAAACTCTTTAAAGGAGAAAGAGTCTGCAACTATTTGCATTTGTCCTAAATAATAAAATTTAGTTCAAGAATGAAATTTAAGCAGATGTTCTTAAAAAGAATGTTGGTCTTTGATGCTTTCAGACAGTTTTGAGTGGAGAAGTGTATACTTCTATGTCTTTCCTCGTTGACATGGTTAATGTCAGTCTGGAACTGATGGATCCAAAAGGAAAAGATGAGTGCAGCTCTTTAGCCAGGTATGAGTTTTCTTTTGTTTCTGAATGCATTATCTTAAACACTTCTTCATTATAGGACAGGAATTAACATAGTCATTAATTTAATAAATAAAACAGTAAATAACAAAACAGTATTTCTTAATTGGTGCCCAAATTGGCAGTTTGTATCTCTTTGGCATGAGATGGGACTATCATTGTTTGAAAAAATAAAGAGACGAGCACGATAACATGCATACTTCTTGGGTAAGTGGCATGGAGAAATAAATGAGCTACAAGATTCTTAGATGTCTTCTTTTTTTCCTCCTAGATTTGATTTTAAAAAATCGAAATTGCTTTTTGAAAGCTCCTCAAACAGAACAAAGTCTGTAAATTTGGTTTCCCATTCCATGATGGCGTTTGACACGCGTTACGCTGGACAGAAATCCACAGCAGGCATGCCCAATGTGTTCAATTGCATCTTCCAGTCATCAAAGAACACTAGCAGTCCAGGAGCAATCCAAATTGAGTTGCATTACAGGTTGGTAGTTCTGTGATTTAATTACTTTTGTTGAAGGCATTTTTAATGTTTTGACCAAGTTGTGACCTGTTTGAATCACCACTGTTTAGAGCTGTATTTGCTTGTTAGATCTGGATGGGGTTTGTATACTTGTGTGCATTAATACATGCTGTGCAAAAGCTGTTTTCCAGTAGGTGGCACACTTCTCCTTCTGAGAGAATCAAATAAATACAGAAATTGCACTTTGTTCAAAAAGCAGTCTCTACATTCCCTGCTGCGTTCTATTCCGTGTTTTTTCTTCCTCATCTCAACTTCCAGGGATGCTGAAAAGCATCAGAAAGTGGATAATTGTTCCATTTCTTGTTTTGAAAATGGGATTATAAACAACAGTGTCGACATTTAACTTTATTGACATGATAGTCCATTGAGAGATGATAACTCTGATAACTGATGATAACTGACAGAAAGGAGGATGAGGTGAGATGAGGTCAGATCAGACTGACTGGCCCAGCTCACCTTTCCAACTGCTTTATGAGTTTGATACCTCCTTAAGCACTTGCTGCAGCAACATGGGAAAAATCTGGGGACTGTGAAAAACTTTGAAGGTATTTGTTCTGAAGTTTAAGGCCATAGAAGGGAATTAGTCATACGAATTTGAAGGATGTTTGATTACTTCAAATGCTTAAAAGATGTTTGCATTGAGAAAGGCTTCAAGATTTCGAGTTGAATAAAACTGAAATGCCATGGGATTTATTAAAACAAACAAATGAACAGCAACAGCAAAAAACATCCTGGGTTTTTCTGTGGTCCTTGATCCAGGATCTGCCTAGCTGGGAGGCTTGTTTGCTTAGCATAGCCTGATCTGTTTTATGAGTGGTGGGTTCATGGAATTTTCTTCCCAAGTGTTTTGCTTTCAAATTTTAGGAGCATAAGCACATGTTACGTTTTTATTGGTGAGAGCATCCTTGGCACTAGATGGAAGCTATTGCAAAGCTCTGCAGTTCTGTTCTACTTGTTCGTGCCTTTTGGAGATATCCTGGAGAGCCAGGGAGGGTTAAAGGGTTTTGCTATTGGAAGCAACACAGGCAGCCTGCTTCTCACAAAGGAATGACACTTCTTCAGAGATTTAATAGTCTAGAATGTCTTGGATAGAAAATTGTTTCATGGAGTTTAAGCACTTAGATTATTTTTCGAGTTAGCATGACCAAATGTAATCAGGATCATAAAGTCAGACAGTTTTAGTCTCCCTAACCTATTCAGAATGTGATGCTGGAAGTAACGGTGGGCTAGCATTATTTCTGGATTGCAGAGAAGCTTCCTCTGCTACGAAATGCTGTCAGGGTGAGAGAAAACACATTGTGTGTCTGATCTTTCACAGGGGCATGCAGCCAGGGCTAGGCTTCATGTGCAGTGTGTTAGCTTTGATACTGAACAGATGTAAAACAATGATAATAACAGGTCTGGTTAAATGAACACTGAGATTATTGATATTAATTTGCACTGTGCAAAAGAATAAAAGGAGCTCTTAGAGTTTGTTCATCATTTTTCAGTTCACCTTTTGTATCACTGCAGCTTAGAAGCTGTTTCTTGCAATTGAGATATGTTAGCTTTCTGCATGTGCAGCAACTTAATGAATTTCAGTCTGCTTAAAAACTTATTTTTAAAGGCCAGACACTTTCTGAATTATGTGTACTCATATAAAGTTCCATGTTCTTAATACTACTACTCTACTTCCCATGTTTTAAATAAAAGCAAAATATGAAGTTTATAACTATGCTTCTCTGTTTTGAATAGGTCTACTAAGGATTCCTCCAGTTTCACAGTAGTACTGAACAATCTCCGTGTGTTTTTAATATTTGACTGGTTGTTACTGGTTCATGACTTTCTGTATACTCCTGGAGATACCAAAAAGAGGGAAAATGTCCTTTCTTCCCGGCAACGCACTTACAGCAGTGAAACAAGTGTGGTTCCAAAAGCAGTGAAAAGTGGAGTAGTTACAAAACGTTCATCACTACATGTGTCTACAGAAAAACAGCTGGAAGTTAAGGTCAATGTGACAGGTAAATGGGTTCTTTTTTACAGTGCTTTACAAGAGCTTAAAGGTACTTAAGATTTTCTTATTATTATTCATCATTCTGTTTTGTTAAGGAACTGAATTTGTGGTTGTTGAAGACATGTCTTGTTTTGATACGAATGCAATTATTTTGAAGGGGACCACTGTTCTCACTTACAAGCCCAAGTTGTTGGATCGTCCTTTCTCTGGTAGTTTGTTTGGCATTGAGGTAAGTAGAGATAAACTTCATTTTGTAAAGTCTCTCAAATTAGATGAATTTATGAGAATACTTGATGTACATACATAGCAGGAGTAGTCAGTAGATAATATCTAAGGCATGTTAATTCCCCCTCAAGTGCTCTAGTTTTAAGAGTGAACTTATATTGTTTGTGCTTGAAATACTTGACTGTAATTTCAAAATACTGCTAAGAGTTCAGCTTCCATACATCAGCTGGCAAATTAGTTGAAAGCTGGGGCTTGACTAGATAGGCAGAAGTCAACATGTCCAGTAAAGGCCTGTAGGCTGAGTTCATGACTGATTTGCAGAGAATAAGCAGTACCATGTCATTGGAATATATGTGAGTTGGAATTTGGAGTATGTGAAGTGATCCTTGAATCCTGTTCAGCAAAATCAGACCACAGCTGGAGAGAGCTGTGGCCAGGTTTGGGAGAACTGACTTGAAGTGCTTAAAAATATAGGAGTGCAGTGAGAACACTGCTGTATATAAGTATGTAGTTGTAGCTGTATAAAAGTATGGAGTATAAAATATATCTGGCATAATATATCAGCAAAGCCTAAAAGAATTTACTTCATCTAGAAAAAGAAGGCTGGGCAGAGGTGTGATAAATCTTAAATGATTTTTGTAGACCAAAGAATAAAGCGCTTTCCATATCTGTGGTGGGAGTTGTGGAATTAAGCCCAGAAGTAAATAGTTGGTTGGGTTTCAGAATCTTTTTTTCTTGGGTTTACAGAATTACAGGTCATTGGAATAAATTGTCTGGAAAGCTTTTGGAGCTTCTCTTAGAGTTCACAAAGGAATTGCTATTGTCTGTAGAGAACAGTTTGGCTATAGTTCATATACTTTTTGTGGTTGAGAGTCAATCTTTGATTTTAAAGCCCAGGTATGTTAGCTTGCACTTTCAGATTCTCATTTCTGTATTTTTTTGGCCAATTTTTAACTTCTAGGTATTTTCATGCCGGTTAGGGAACGAACAAGAGACTGCACTGTCAATTATTGATCCAGTCCAAATTCAGGTGGAACTCGTTGGGAACGCTTCCTACCCGAGTGGTTCGGGGCTGTTGGATGCTTTCAACAGTGAAGATTTCCCCCCTATTCTAGAGGTAACATCAGTGGGCTGAATGAGACTGTATGCAGTGCAGAGCACAATAACGTGAACCTTGTGCAGATTTCTCATGCAAGAGAATCCAGTGAGTAGTTTCAGAAGAAAGGAAGAGCAGTTTTTATTAAAGAGGAAAGGGCAAACACGCAGCCATGCAAAAAATGCTGTTAGTGACAAGGAGCACAATGAGTACTGGGATCTCTTATAGAAAATAATAGTGAGGAAAAAAATGGTGGGCATGTAATTTAGACATATTAGACAGATACTAATAACTAAAAGAAATAATTGTTTATTTTCTGTATCTAATAATTATTGTTTATTATTGCGAGGGGAAAAATATTTAGAAGTTTCTTTTTCCCATTACACAAAAGCAAAATATTTTCCCCCACCTCCAACTTTTGCTTTAGATATTAAGAAGGTAATAACAGAAACGTAATAATTTTATTACTGGAGCTTTAAAGCATCTTCATCGTATGTTAGTATTAAATTTTGTCTTACCTTTTGCTGCCCAGAGAGGTTGTGGATGCCTCATCCCTGGAGGTGTTCAAGGACAAGTTGGATGGGGCCTTGGGCAGCCTGGTCTGGTATTAAATGGGGTTGGTGGGAGGTTGGTGGCCCTGCCTGCAGCAGGGGGATTGGAGCTTGGTGATCTTTGACATCCCTTCCAACCCAGGCTATTGTATGATTCTATGAAAATATTTGTTATTAGTCAAAGTATACAAGAAAAATGAAAATGGAAAATCATAGAATCATATCACAGAACGACCTGGGTTGAAAAGGACCTTAAAGTTCATTAAGTTTCAACCCCCATGCTGTGGGCAGGATCACCAGCCACTAGAGCAGGCTAAGATAACTGAATCTTGTTTTTTTTGTTTGTTTGTTGTTTGTCATTAGATTCAATTGCAAGCATTGGATATTCGACTGTCCTACAATGATGTCCAACTGTTCTTGGCAATTGCTAAATCAATTCCTCAACAGACAAGTGCAGCTATGCCTGACTCCAGTGCATCAGTTGCCGAGAGTACTACTAACCCCAGTTCATCACTGGTGGCTGAGCCTTCTTGCTTGACAAGTGAAAACAGAGAGATACCCAAGCGTGTGTTGGATCCTGTTCTTGGTAGGTTTTTATCTCTTGTAGCTGCTGCAGCTTACTGTTCTGTTTTGGCACACGCTTTTTTTTCTTTTTTAAAGCAGCACTGAATCTTACGCTTTTTCTGCAGCTTAAATGAAATAAAACCCATTTTTCATTCAGGTGTATTTTATTTTAGAAATAAAAACAAGTAGATAGCTGTCAAGGATTTATAATTGGCTGAGTGTTTAATTGCAGAGGTGCAGCTGGCTCGCCTTCAGGACTTGGGATTCGGAATGGGAGACTGCCGCAAAGCTCTTCTGTGCTCCCAAGGTAAGCTTAGATATTCAGAGTTGGCCTTTGGGATTCTTCCTGCTACCAAACTTTCAGACTGTAAGGTAGTTGATGGGCAGGCAGTATTTCCTTCTCTGCTTCACTTTGGTCTGTTATTACCCCCGTTAGCTCTGTGTTGACATCTTCTTAAGCAGTCTCATTTTTCTGTCCTACTAAATACCACTCTCCAAAGGTGGTTCTTGGCTCTTGAGGTGTCATGTGGGGCATGTGGGTGGATTTCTCTGCTGTTGTTTTTCTCTCATGGTGTACCTATTTCTTAGCATTATCCATCTCTGCAGAGCAAGTATTTTCGTCTCTCCCTTTTGAATGATAAATTTTACTTATTTGTACATACAATACATGGAAAGAAAATGAAGGTTAATTTTCATAGGCACTGTCTTGTTTCCCACCTTATTTATAGGTTTTTATAGCATTAATAAAGATTTATGTCATGTTAACTCAGTTTGCCAACATCAAACACAGTCTTTACGCTTAGAAAACACCACTGTATTTGTAATCTTACCACGTGTGTGTTTGAATAGAGCACATTCGGGGTACTATTTTTGTTTTGCTATGCATTTTAAGGGAGAGGCAGTTAATTTGTTAATCTGTGTGATTTTCGAATCATCATCTACTTTCTAAATGGATCATCCTTGTTTTGAATGTTTGGTTTTATTTAAGGTGATTTGAAAAAAGCAGCAAGTTGGCTGTTTAAGAATGCTGAACCTTTGAAATCACTTTCCCTGACTTCATCTGGTCGAGACAATCAAGGGATTGTGCCTTTTCAGTTCATCTCTGGGGTGGAAATCAAGGCAGAAAGTATATGCATCTGCTTTATTGATGACTGCATGGACTGTGATGTTCCCCTTGCTGAGCTAACGTTCTCACGTGAGTATCTGTTTTGCAAAGTGATTTGCATAAAATTTACTGTATATATATGTGCATATAGGTCATATATGAATATGACAAAGCTTTCCATTCATTGCTTATTAACAATGCAGAAGAAACTTGATCTTGTTTGTTTTGCACATTGTTCGCTTTTCTGGCAGGTTTGAATTTTCTCCAGCATTTGAGGGCCAATCCTGAAGGCTGTGCTCATTTTACCCTCTCTGGGGATTATTATAACCGTGAGCTTTCAGGTAAAGTACCTGGGGTTTTGTTGTTTATGTAAATTTAGGAAAAAAATCTTGTGTACTACAGGAGCCTAAAATTCACCTAACGTGAGATGAATACAAGGGAATGCAGTGTGGATACGATCCTGGACAAGAAAGCCTACCTTGATATGTGAAGGAAGAGTGAGGAAAGTGGAGAGTTTGCTGATAAAAAAAAAAGTTACTTAAGTTTTTGGTTGTCATTACAAAAGAATCATAGAATCACAAGGTTGGAATAGATGATCTTGTAGGTCCTTTCCAACTGTCCCGTCACCATTGCTACCTACTAAGCTACTAAACCAGTTTCCAATTCAGTTTTCTAGTTGAGGATGTTAAAGAAGTTGAGGGTACTGATGAGACTGAAGGCAATGGATTAACATAGTAAGACTATTGCAATTTATATTAATAGAAACAGTAATTTCCTATTAACGCTCCCCTCAGAAGTACAGTATTTCTGCAAGTCTCTACATATACTCTCCACTGGTTTAAGTGGAGGGTTTGGAGCAGCTTTCTGTTAATGACCAATTTGAACCTGTTGGTTTACAAGTTCGTCTTGAATGCAGGGACCTTATTATTGAGGTTGTATCATTAAACTCTTAGGTATGTTAACAGCATTCCAATGTGGCCTTCAAATGTGTAATACGTGTGATGTGTTGGCTTTGTTCTCAGGCTGGGAGCCATTTATTGAGCCATGGCCATGCTCAGTTTCTTGGCAGCAGCATGCTTCAAGCCGCCTCCACCCTTCCAGATTGAAGCTGGAAGTAAAGGCCAAACACCGTTTGGATGTCAACATTACCTCTGTCTTCTTAGGTATGTAGGAATATTCCCTGAGAGCATCACTGTATAGTCTTAATTTTCACTTTACTAAAACAACAGGTAGTTCTCATTGAACCTTGCTGGTGTCCTATGGATGGAGGAAGGGAGGTTTGGCATGAGTCCCCAGATACTTGAGATAATATTGTACACAGGTGTGCATTTAGGCAGCCTGTATTTTATCAGATACTGTGAAAGTGTAAAGACACGAGCAACATACTTTAGAAGTTAGTAGGAATTCTTTTGTTGGTCATATGAATTCTATCAAATTCATATGTTTCTTGAAATTTCTCTATAATCAGAAACAGGCTTTCATCTAAAGCTTTCCATACATACAGTATTTTAAAATATTTTGTTAAGCTCATCAGTTTTCAGTACATTGACAGGCATAGTGGGGAGCTGCTTATTTCTGCAGACTCTGAGAACTGGAGTTTTCAATTCCCACCTCAGAAAATTAAAATATTTTGTTCATCATTAACTCAGACTTTATGGACATTTCTGTGCTGTGAGGCTGTGTACATTGCCAGAAAGATTATGCCTTCTTCTATGTGCAAATCTGTATAATTTAATAGTCATAATAAGTGCAGAGGTCTGAGCCTTCAGGTGAAAAAGAAGAGCCTTCCTTGTTCCTTGAATATTCATTTGTTTCTCCAACAAGGTCTGTGAAGTTGTTCGAAAGAGAGAGGTAAGGTAGGAGGAAAAGACAGTCACCACCAATTCCTTAGAGTTCCTGTGATGCTTTTTACTACCAGCAACAACATCTGGTTTGATTAATGCTGTTCCAGAGCACTTAATTGGTGTCTTCATATTTATGGAGGAATAGATGTATACCTCTTAAAAAGAAAAGAAAAATGGAAACTGCTTCTGACACAAAAACATCCTCAGATTAATTGCCTTTTCAGAGAGACCTCCTATGTTGCTCCTGGAGTATCTTGAAAAATGGCGATTCTACTGCATGTTTAAAAACATAAAAGTCCCTTAAGAATATAAACATTTGTTTTTAAAGACAGCACTGTGATTTCATGAGCCGTTATGTCTTTAAATTATGTAAGTGGGTCATAGGAAAAGCAATGAAATAAAAGCTTTCCCATTAAAGTGGAACAGGTTTAGGCTTATGAATTTAAACTACTTTTTAACTGCTCTTCTTTTGGCCACTTTGCAGACATTTACTTTCTGTGCTTTATTCTTCTAGAACAGTATGCAAGCACCAAGCAGTCATGGATGGAAGATTACTGTAAACAGGACAAAGAAGTAAATGCAATCAGTTCTGAAGAGTGGATGGGCTCTTCAGAGGATTCACCATGTTTTGGACAGAGTATGATGTTAATTAATCTTTCTTTATTTGAAACAATCCTGACAAGTATAGTCATTTGTCTAATGTATTACAAACATAAGTATTTGGCCTTCGTAGCATACAGTGAATTGTTAGAGGTTATCTGGCCAAAACATTAAAAATCCTATTTTCTGTTCAGTTGTTCCATTCTTTAATAATAAAAATCTTCACTGCTTTTCTTGAGTGAGAACTTGGCGCTGCTAGTTTTGCTTCCTTTTTTAACCACACTTTCACAGCAGCTCTCTGAGTAAGAGCACATGAGATGGGGCAGCTCTTTTATATTCTCTTCTCCCAGTATTAATTCTGGAAGAAGTTTTAGTAACTCAAATACCAACCTCACATGAGCAAATGGATGAAGAGTTGTACACTGATTGCATGCTGCCAGCTGTCCCTGTCTTCCTGCTGCATGATGGGGAAGAGTCTACCTATATTTATGTGGTTTTGCTTACCTGCTAACTTTGTCTTTCCTGTCTGCCAGGCCTTCCTCTTGTCTACCTTAGAACTAGGAGTACAGCCAGTTTGACTAACCTAGAGCATCAGATCTATGCTAGAGGTACTGTATAGCACAGAGAGATTAAAAGCTTATTTTTTTTCTTTTTTGGAAATCTGTACAGTAAACACTGTGGTGTATGTGTGAATTGCCAGTGCAATTATCTCTGTATTTTAAAAGGAAAAAACCACAAGAGTTTTTATAGCATTTCATCCCATCTATCATCTTAAGGTCTTCCCTGAGCCCTTCAGCAGAGAAGGGAGGAGTAGAACTGTTCCTTTGTGGGAAGACTCTGAGAAAAGCTATATGAATTGTTGGCTACATGATATCCATTTTCTGAGGTATCTTTCAGGAAGATATTTTATTTTTGTGGGAAAGAAGCATTTATTGCTTGGCTTTTTGTGGGCATGGCAACAAAAGAAACAGCTAAATGAATTATGAAAAAAACTCCTTCTTATGATAGATCTTTTAGTTTCCGGTGCTGGTCTCAAGTTGCAACTTTATATTATGTTTTCTTTTGAAAATCAGGCCACAGTCCCAAAAATTCCTTTTCAGTCAAAAAAAAAAAAAAAAAGAGTAGCCCACAAATTAAATAGCAGAGTAAAGTTCATCTAACTCCTGGTCTGTGATTTTGTTGAACCTGAGGTAGGCAGAAAATGATATGAAGTCAAACTTTACACCAAACATAAATATTTTCAAGTTGCATTCAACAAAAAAGCCAGTGTTTTCATTTTAAAGAATTCAATTTTTGTACTTTTGAATTGAAAAGGATTTCCTTGATGAGATTTAGAGTGATCAGATTCATGTCTCAATCAGCACAGTGAGGAGTAGAGCCATTTGTTGTCCTTCATTTGGGATAAAGCTATGTGCAATTGTCAGTAATTCCTTCACAAACACTTCCCCACTTGCTCCCCCCCTCTTCTGCCTTTGTACACTTGTGCTTCAGTTATTCTTGGTCAGATGCATGGCTGCATGATATACTGGAACTTAATGTAAGTCATCCTTTGGAGAGAAATTCTGTGAGACGTTTAATTCCTGTCTTTGAGCAGCTGATTTAACGTGTCTGCCTTCTGTCAGCTCTCATACAGAAAGATGTATGTGTTCAGGGAGCAGCCATTTATCTTCCCTCCTAAGTAGTTGCTGGGATTTGGCAGGGTTTTTTTTTTTCCTGTCCAAACACAGTAAGTATTTTCACAGACGTGATGTACAGCAGCACAGAAGAGGAGAGTAACACTTGGGTGCTTGTTAGTAATGCATCCTTGAGAAATGCCAAACATTGTAGGTGAAGTTTCCTGTTCAGAGGGTTTTGCAGAGCCAGCACTTTAAAAAGACCAGATTACCTCTGGCTGCAGTCAGGTTAGTGTACAGGGATTATATATGTATCCCATTTTCTCCTTTTTCTTCTTCTCTTTTCCTTCTTTTTTATTTTCTTTTTTCAAGTTGATTAAACTCAGTTCCTGTGGTGTTCTCAAACTGTAATACCAAGGCAAGCAGATGATGCAAGGAAAGATTTTGTACTGTTTCTAGAGCAGTTAATAAATAAAACAGTTTGTAGTAATCTGCTAGGCTGTTTCTTAGATCTGCTTTTCTAGAGATGGTACAGACTGTGGTTCTCCAGCCATTGTCTCATCCTGTGTCTGCATCTGCTAAATCTAGATGATCTTAAGGGTCCCTTCCAACCCAAATCATTCTATCATTCTATGGATATTTCTTTCATAAGCATTTAGACAAGTCTTTATTCTGTCTTACAGCTGAAATGAAGACCCCAAAACGCAGACAGCCATTTGTGCCCTTTGCTCTGAGAAACCATACTGGATGCACTCTGTGGTTTGCTACCCTAACTACAACACCTACCCGGTAAGAAGTGGGATTGCTTTGGCAATACCTGTCTGGCTTCTCTGGGGTGTCAGCCAAACCCAATTGTCCTCAGTTCTTCTGTTTTCTTGCAGGAATCTTAGCTCCCAGTCTTTCTTAGCCTTTTCTTTGTCATGGAGATATTAATACTGTTTTAAAAAACAAAAAGCTAATCAAGCCCAACTCCTGCAACCTTTCTTCATAGCAGAGAAAGCTCCAGCCCTCTTCTCATGGCTCCACTCCAACGCTTCCACATCTTTCATGTGTTGGGGGCCCAGAGAGTATGGTTCTATTTACAGAGCTGGGATGTGCTGTGGGCTCCAAGTCATGATGTGATTCTCTGTGCAGGGCTGCACTGTCTCACAGTGGGAGTCCAGGAGTTGTTCCTGAGGAAAATGGAACGTTGCTGGATGATGCCCATAATGTCAGTGAGTGGAAAGAAGTTATCACAGGGGAAGAAGTTCCATTTGAGTTTGAAGCCAGAGGGAAACTCAGACACAGGTGAAGGGGTCAGGCTGCAAGATGTGCTTTGACACACTCATATGTAAAACTCATAGAATCATAGTTATGAAGATGCCAGTAGGTGGTAAATAAAAAGGGGATTTAAAAAAATCTTTTAATTTTTTTTTTTTTTTTAATATTTAAAACTCTCTATATAAATGTGGACTTATCAGTAAGCAGCTTGTCTTGTGGTAGGTGGAAGCTATTCCTAGATGTGAGTTATGGTTTAATTGTTAAACGTTTTAGAAAATTTTGTATGTGGCAGGGGGAGGGGGACTTGCTAACATAAGTGTTACTGGTGTTAAGAACTGGCAAACAAATATTTCATGTGGTTTTGTGTTTAATTTTGATGTAGTCATACTTACCAATGTTGACTAGGGAGAGCAGAACAAATCAGGTCCATGAAATGGAAAAATTGTTGAGATTTTTTTTTCTTAAATGCTAAATTGGTGAGACTTGTTTCCTCGTTATGCAGAGGATGTACTTTATGTGAACTGTTTGGTATTTACCCTGTAAGAGAACACTAAACAGTAATTTAACTTAATCTAATCTGTAGGCACACGCATGATCTGAGGATTCATCAGCTGCAAGTGAGAGTGAATGGCTGGGAAGAAGTCAGCCCAGTGTCTGTAGACAAAGTTGGAACCTTTTTCCGATATGCTGCACCAGACAAGAATTCCTCCTCTTCCACTGTAAGCTCTGATTTGAGGTGTGAGCCTTAACAGAAATGCATAGGTTGAGAGTAATGATGCCTCCAAGGTTTTGGTGTAACAACAGCATCTGCATTGCATGAGATTGTCCTCTTCTTAGTTGGTGTGAACTGGGAGAGCGTGAAATGGTGAACTGACAGTGTTATGCACAACAAACAAACCACAGGGGTAGCCAGCATTTAGCCTGTGCTTAGCACTTAGAACTGCCAATGACAGAGATAATGTATTAGGGACAGAGTCACAGAGTTGTGGAGTTTGAGCTTCAAATCAGCACTACAGTCCAGGCTGGATGTGGCTCTGAGCAAGCTGGTCTGGTGGTTGGCGACCCTGCCCATGGCAGGGGGTTGGAAATGAGATGATCATTGTGGTCCTTTTCAACCCAGGCCATTCTGTGATTCTATGATACATTTCAGCAGCTATTTTTATTTCTTTTATGGCAGGAATGCTTTCTCTGTGGTTAATTTACTTAGAATTAACAACATTGGCAATTCTCTGAAAGCCTGGAGATTGTTGAAATGTGTGGCAGCTTAGACCAAATATACTTGTCATGAAGGAAAAGCACAATTGCAGTAAGCAGCAGGCTGGCAGGCAGTTGTGATTGAGACTTGGTGATAGAAATGGTTGTGGAATGTAGAAAGTAGCTAAGCTTTAAGGTTAGCTACTGGAGAAGATGAAAGCTGAGGTCTTTTTAGTAAAGAATAGGATTAGAATTTATTACTATTACCACTAAAAGGAGCCATTAGTCTCCTGTTTGGATAATTCCTGATGGTTTCATATTCAAGTGTATAAAGCATCATCTCTGTCTGCAGCTTGGTTTGTGAAAGAGAAAAGTGCAAATGAGCAGGAACTGCTATTCAGGAACATCTGTGGGTAGTTAGTTTTTAATGAATGCTCTTGCTTCAGCTTCATTCTTCTTTTAAAGCAGTATTACAATTAGATTAAGCTAATATAGCTCTGATGTCTTCAAAGTTGTGTTGAAAATGAGAAAGACAAAGTAATGACAGTCTTAAGTTTATTTTTCTGCAGTAATGTTCTGTGTTACAACTGACAGTAATGTCTTAAAGTGAACACTTCTGTCTTTCCTGTTCGTTTTTCTTCCAGCTTGGAAGCCCAATAAGTAGAACAAACATAATACATCCACAAGTTTATGTAAGTATATATTTTCATTTTTTGAGAGCTACCAAAGTAAGATTAGCATAACTCTATAGGTGGCTTCTGCTTTCTTCATAGGAAACAGAAGTCAAGTTCAGCTGTGACAAGGTTCCTCAATGCCAGTTTTTACAGTCTGAGCTAGCACACTGGAGCTAGATGTGTGCTCACATAATAAAACTCTGACTTTTGGAACTGCAAAGCAGTGCAGCCTGTTATCTACTTTGCTGAGAAATTTGGAGCTATTGAACTCAGTCTCACTTCTTACATACGATGAAATAAGTGCCAACTTTGAAGTTGAAGTCTCTGCTGCTAATTCTTATGAAGATCATACTCTGTAGTTCCAAGACTTGCTGAGCTGTTTTAAGGAAACAGAGAAGTAAAATTATTCTCTGTTGCACAGATGTTTTAGTCTAAATAAGCTGAGCAGAAGAGTTCCAAGTACTCCTCTTTTGAGACTGCTGAAGTATCTGCCTCCTACACTGCTTTGTCTTGTCAAAACTTAAAGTCATGTGTTCCCCACATCAGTATACATAAATAGGAGGGTCATAAATCATTCTTGGGATGCTAAAAGCGAGACTATCTAAACAGCACAGCTTGAACAAAAACACTGATTTGGGGAAATAAGGCTGTATTGAACTGTCTTCTTTGTAGAGCTTATTGTACAGGTTAGTGCATACATCTGAAGATGAAACTTTGCAAATAGCATCTGCTGTTCCTGCTCTTGCCAGCACAGATAGTCTGAGTAATGAGCTCTTTATATTCCACCTGAATAAGGCTTATGATTAAAACTTCAGGAATTTATAAAATAATGTACTTGCTATTCTGTGGTTAAGTTCTATATTCTTCTTGCTAGGGCTTGTATCACTTTGAGAAAGATACTGAGTTACATGTTTAGAAATGCTTCTTGATTGCTTGACTGTGTTTTGGAAAGGAGATACAGTATTACAAAGCATTGTTGTGAAACTGCATGTACCGTGGATGCTGTACTTGGTTGCATTCCCTTCACAGATTCTCACTCCAGCAGCTACTACTGCAATATTGACCTGTCCCTCTATTAGATACCTTTTGTTACCTTTTATTGCTTTTCTATTACTTTTCAGTTTTCTTCATTACCTCCTGTGCGTGTGGTATTTGAAGTAACCATGGAAGGCAGTGCTCGGAAGGTGATCACCGTGCGCTCAGCCTTGATTGTGAAGAACAAGCTGGAAACACCCATGGAGCTAAGGCTGGATAGTCCTTCTGCTCCTGACAGTAAGTGGTGTATGCTCCTTCCATGTGCAAAATCTTCAGCTTCCTTCCCTGGAAGATTCATTGCTGCCTGTAACAGCTAACAGCACAGTCAGCCTCCCTGGTTGGGGGATGGGTGGTGTTAAGAAGACAGTAATCAGCAGCATAAGCTAGAGAAACCAGTAGGATTTTCCTTATGGTCCAAATAAACAGGGAAAGCTGAGACTCTGTAAAGATGGATTTGAATTTCTATACATGCTGTGTTACACCTTTTAGCAATAGGATGTTTAAAGTGTTGGCATGCAGAGGTGAAGTGTATAAATGTAGTGCCGTGCTGATAATCTACCATGAATATAATGAATGAGATTTTTTGGAATAAGCATCACTAAAGTATCCAAAGAAGAACTTGAGCTCCAGCAGATTTCAGATTTACATGCCTAAATTATTCTCCTATCAGAATAATAAGGCTTAGAACAACTGGTTGATGCTTGGAACATAGATAAAATAGCTTGTATTTCACTTTAAAACGTAACTTGTTGCTCTAAAAATTTATTAGGACTTACTATTTGAAAACAGTTTCCAGTAGAAGATACTTTTCAGTGAAGGAGCCCAATTTGTTCTTAGTGTTTTCTTTTCTGTTTGGTTGCAGAACCTGTAGTTCTTCCAGCAGTTATGCCAGGTGATGCCTTTGCTATTCCACTGCACCTGACATCTTGGCGTTTACAAGCCAGGCCAAAGGGACTGGGAGTCTTCTTCTGTAAGGCTCCAATTCATTGGACTAATGTTCAGAAGACAGCAGAAGTTTGTAGCAGCAAACGGGAGTGCCATTCCATGGAGTCTGAGAACAGCCGCTTTTTCAGGTTGATTGAAGCCCTAATTGTTTCTCTGTAAACTGTTATCCTCTTCTGGCAATTTAAATGCTGTGAAACTCAATAATAGGAAAGAAAATATGTAGAGGTAGAAGCTTCTGCAGTTTAATGGGATGTTTTGCTTGGTTGCTAGCATAAAAAGGAAGCACTGAATGTATAACTGTATTTCTGCAGGGCTCCTTAAAGCCCATATGGCAGTACCTGTTGGCAAACATCTGAGCATAGAATCACAGAATGGCCTGGGTTGAAAAGGAGCACAATGCTCATCCAGTTCCAACCCCCTGCTATGTGCAGGGTCACCAACCAGCAGCCCAGGCTGCCCAGAGCCACATCCAGCCTGGCCTTGAATGCCTGCAGGGATGGGGCATCTACAACCTCCTTGGGCAACCTGTTCCAGTGCCTCACCACCCTCTGGGTGAAAAACTTCCTCCTAATATCTAATCTAAACCTCCCCAGTCTCAGTTTAAAACCATTCCCCCTTATTGGTTAGTGCTGTTATTAATGCCTATTGTAAAGGATGAAATGTTAGAAAATAGCGTGGACTTCCTGTAGAGACAAGTTTTGGTTATTCCATTGAGTTCATTGGTGCCTTCTGACACAGACCTGTTTGTCTTCACAGATTTTGTGTGGCGATCAAGAAAGAGAACTACCCTGATTACATGCCCTCCAGCATATTTTCTGACAGTGCTAAACAGATTTTCAGGCAGCCTGGCCATACTATTTATCTTTTGCCAACAGTGGTGGTCTGTAACTTGCTGCCTTGTGAACTTGAGTTTTATGTTAAAGGGATGCCAATCAGTGGCACACTGAAACCCGGCAAGGAGGTGGCATTGCACACAGCTGATACATCTCAGAACATCGAGCTTGGTAAGATGCTTTATGCAACAGGAAATGCTGGTGTTTTCAACATTGGCTGCACTTGTGATGCTCAGGCACTAATTATCCTTAAGCAGAGTTCCTTCACAAAACGTTTTGCTGCTTCTGACTTAATGAGGTCAGAGATCTTTGCATGGAGTGGTTTTACAAGTTAACATGGGTGAGCTATGTGAAATATTCAGGAAGAGTAAACGATAGGAAAGATCAATGGTATACTTCTATGCTTATGTGCCTTCTGTTGTTCTGTTTGGTTATTCCCAGGAGTACTGCTAGAAAACTTCCCAATCTGCAAAGAGCTGTTGATTCCTCCTGGGACACAAAACTATATGGTGAGGATGCGATTGTATGATGTCAACAAACGCCAGCTGAATTTGACCATAAGGATTGTGTGTCGTGCAGAAGGTTCTCTGAAGATTCTCATTTCAGCCCCGTATTGGTTAATCAATAAAACAGGTGAGTTTTACAGTGTCTTCTTTCAGAAATACAACAATGGAATTTGGAAATGAAGATTTCATGCAGTGTTTCAGTTTGCTTCCTAGACAAGAGCTTTTAAAGACCCCTTCAGAGGAATTAAAATTGCAGGAAATATTTTTTTTAACAGTGCCAGTAGCTCGTGTTATAAGTGTTGCAACAGATAACTTACAGTGGCTCTTTTACAGACTTTTAAACACGAATAATTTCTGTAGCTGCGAACAAATTGACACAGGTTAGACTTAAAAATGTGGTTTTCAAAGGCTGAGATGCCTTCAAAAAGCATCAGGTCTTCAACAATAAGTTGCAGTTATACAAGAAGCTTACATTGGTGCTGTCAGAGCTGCAAGATCCTTTTTCACTTGTAGGCTCTGTGCTCACAGCTATGATGGGTTTACCTCTTCAGCAGCTCAGGTGGAGATTGTGGATGCAGAATTGGATTGTGTGCAGACTAATGGCTGACATTCCAACAGGAGAATTTTAGACTCTTCTTTAATGGGAATAGCTTTTGCCATTCTCATCTTGAATTCTTGTAAGAGTATGATTTGATAACTCATTTTTTTGTGTTTCCTTAAAGGATTGCCACTCATCTTCAGACAAGATAATGCCAAAACAGATGCAGCTGGGCAGTTTGAAGAGCATGAACTTGCTAGAAGCCTCAGCCCACTTCTCTTCTGTTACGCTGATAAAGAACAGCCCAACTTGTAAGTACCACTGAGAGAGGAACAGAGGTGAGGAACCTTGTTAAATACAACTATAATTGGCAGAGGATGGTGTGCTGGCATATTAGTATAGATAGCAGCTAACAGGGAAAGCTTTTTCCTAAGATCACCTGTTGAGTAGTGGTAGCAGTCACTTGGAAGCCCGTGTGCAGCAGAGTGAAGGATTTTGGAAAGCAGATTGTCAGTTATTTTATCTGGCCTCCAGGAGGAAATTTACTTTTTCCTTGTCACCACCTGATCCTTTCTTTAAATCTGTGTTTTCTTCTTACCCTTAGCTGTACGATGCGGGTTGGGAAAGGCATCCATCCTGAAGGCATGCCAGGCTGGTGCCAGGGCTTTTCCTTGGACGGCGGTAGCGGTGTCAGAGCCCTCAAGGTGATCCAGCATGGAAACCGACCAGGCCTCATTTACAACATTGGTATGTGCTGTGTTTGAGAGACACTGTGGAACTGCAGAAAAGAAACTTGTTTTGCTAAAGATTTGTGAGTGTCTAGAGAAAAGTGTTAGTAAAGAATTAGAATCCTAACAACTCACACCTCTGTATTCTGAAACTGGTTTGCTTAAAAATCAGTTTTCAGTGATTTTTATTTTTGCATTTAGTCTTCAAGTATTGGTAAATGTATTTACAAAGTGTTCTTTCATTTTATGGTCCTTTATCCCCCCTGTACACTACTTCTAAGTACATCTGAAATCCCACCTCAGCACTATCTCTAATTGTATTTAGGTGTCCATATGCTTCGTGTGTTGAAAAGGGAAATAATTACATTGATTTTCCTGGTCGTTTGAAAATAGAGGGGTTTTTTTGCCTTGGTGCTTATTATCTCTAAATTCTACTTGAGATACAGAGGGTAACAGGTAGCATAAAACCACATTTCCTGTTAATATTTCACCTGTGCAAAAGGCATGACAGAAACTGTACATCTCAGAAACTCACTGAAAATAATTATGTTAAATGTAGTTTGAAAGTTAGTTTTAGATTTTTTTTTTCCTTGTAATTAACAGCATTACTTTTAATTTGTGTCTGTTACCAGGTATTGATGTTAAGAAGGGCAGAGGGCGTTACATTGATACCTGCATGGTGACATTTGCCCCCCGTTACCTGCTAGATAATAAGTCCAGCTATAAGCTTGCCTTTGTTCAGAGGGAGTTTGCCAGAGGCCAGGTAAGGGCCTTTATTTCTGTTCCACCTGGAGTTAGGCACAGCATCTTCTAACTGCAAAGAATACAGACATTGTACCTGAAAGTTTTCTAATCTGATTACAAGGACTTTTTAAACTGTTACTCTAATTTTGAGCATTCACCTAACAAAATAATTGCTGTGGGAGGTGTATGGGTTTGAAAGCTGCATTGTATTTGAGAGGTGTATGGATTAATATTGTATTTTCCATGCCCTTAGGATAATTATTTCCTGATTTCTATTACCAGGGGACATCCAACCCTGATGGCTACATCTCCACGCTGCCTGGCTCCAGCGTTGTGTTCCACTGGCCACGCAATGACTATGATCAGCTGTTATGTGTGAGACTGATGGATGTCCCAAACTGCATTTGGTCTGGGGGATTTGAAGTCAACAAAAATAACTCGTTCCATATTAATATGAGGTAGTTATTGTATGCAAGTATTTTGTGACATGCTTCCATTTTTTTAATGGTGCCATATGCCCCCCATTGAACACTTAGAGCTGCAGTAATGCCCATCAGAAACCCACCTGTCTTGCACTTGCTCTTTCTTGTTCAGGGACACCCTGGGAAAATGCTACTTCTTAAGGGTAGAAATTACTCTTCAGGGAGCCACGTACCACGTTGCATTCAGTGACACAGATCAGCTGCCACCACCTTTTCGCATAGACAATTTTTCCAAGGTAAAAGAGGAGAAAATCATGATTTCCTTTTTTTAATGTTTTTTAAATTTAAAAAGTAGAAGAATTCTTTTAGATTTAAGTTAAGGAACTGTCTAGCTTCCATAAGAAAATACAGTGGAAGTCTGTAGCAATATGTATTTGTATATAAGTAACTTTCTTCAGTTTTGTTCAAATAATGGGGCCTATATTGTGGCTTTCATAGGTCTATAGAAAGAGGAAGAGCATCATAATGGTGGGAAGGTTGTAATAGGACAACAGTTTATAATCTGTTCTGTGTTCTTTTCAGCACTTGGATAACACACAGAAAGAATTCAGGCTACTGATACCACTTCCTTTCTCTCTATCTTTGGACTTCTTTATTCAAATACAAAACTTTCTTGCTTCCCTCTTCTTTCAGGCACATTGGTTCCTCAATGTAAAATGAGAATCAGTACAGAGCTGATGATAATGAGTGTGAGAGATGAAGTTCCATGTTAATGACTGTAGAAAATCAGAGAATTTGCTTTGTTTATTGGACAGTAACTTACAGACTGCATTGTGATTAGAACAGGAGACACAGCTCTTGATAATGGTTATTATTCTGGCTTTTGTTACTGAATTGCTCAATAAAACTGGGCACGTCTCCTAATTTTAATTGGAAAGGTTTGAGATGCTACCATGGGACTAAAGAGTTTCTGAACTGAAGATGATGAATAAAAGCAAAGCTGATTATTTCTGGTCCCTTTGAGATTATCTTTGAGGCTCAAATGGAGGGGGGGAAGAAAAGTGAGAGCACATTTCAGTGATCAACGCCTGAAAAATGAATAAATGATAGCAAAAAACGTAACTGATGGAGAATTGGTGTGAAATTTAAATGCTTTTTCATTACTGTTACAGGTCCCAATTGTTTTTAATCAGCACGGTGTTGTCGAGCCAAGGCTGTACACTGAGGTGAAGCCCATGACCTCCCTGGATTATGCATGGGATGAACCCATCCTACAACCATTTGTCATGCTGACAGTTAAGGGAGCAGGGTCCTCAGAGATTGTCTGCAGCATGAATGACTTCCAAGACAGCAAACAGCTTTATTATGAAAACTTCATTTATATTGCTGCTACCTATACTTTCTCAGGGTAATTCATTAGATATTACACTTAGATATTTTGGATGCTTATAGTGTTGTAAGCTGTTCTGATTGCCATTTTGTACCTTCCATAAATATTTCAAATTCAGTTAACTAGCCCAAGCAGCTGGAGAAGAGTTGCCAAAATTCAGGAGTTGTCTGGCTGAGTTGTCAAGGTCCAGAGCCCCCAATACAAAAAGGGCAGGGAGCTGTTGGAGAGGGTCCAGAGGAGAGCCATAGAGATGATCAGGGGACTGGAGCACCTCCACTATGAAGGCAGGCTGAGGGAGCTGGGCTTTTTCAGTCTAGAGAAAAGAAGGCTGCATGGTGACCTCAGTGCAGCCTTTCAGTACATAAAGGGGGCCTACAAACAGGAGGGGAATCAACTCTTTGAAAGGGTAGATAACTGCAGGATGAGGGGAAATGGCTTGAAGTTGAGGGAGGGAAGATTTAGGTTGGACGTCAGGGGGAAATTCTTTATAGAGAGAGTGGTGAGGTGCTGGAACAGCTGTAGATGCCCCATCCTTGGAAGTGTTCAAGGCCAGATTGGATGGGGCCCTGGGCAGCCTGGTCTAGCATTAAATGTGGAGGTTGGTGGGCCCTGCATGTGGCGGGGGATTGGAGATTCATGATCCTTGAGGTCCCTTCCAGCCTGGGCCATTTTATGATTCTGTGTATCTTGCCTGATTTTTTTATATCCTTGACTTGTTCTACAGAAGCCAAGCTGCTCTGACTCAACATGCTGATGTTCTAGTTTACAGGAGACAAGTGTAAGACCCGTTGCTTCAAACAGGGATGCTGCATATGCAGAGCTTGTCCTTGATGTTTCTCCAAAGACACAACGAGTTATCCTGAAAAAAAAGGTACCAAGACATGCTTGATTTTATTGAAATGCTATTGCTCTGTGATGAAATAAAATCGGGTGCTGGTAGAAGGGGAAAAAAAAAAAAAAAAAAAAGTAATCATGGTACCTTGCAAGGCTAGTTATAAATTATAGCATTTGATAGAAAAACAGAGCAGTAGTATTTGCTCTGTATTGCTGTACTCATTGAAATCTTGAATTCTTTTGCAACAGGAGCCAGGAAAACGATCCCAGCTTTGGAGGATGACTGGCACAGGAATGCTTTGCCACGAAGGCTCCTCTGTTCCTCATAACCCTCATAAACCTTCTCCTCGGTCTGTGGAGTCTTGTATGATTTTAGATATTGCTGGTCTGGCAGCTGTCACAGATAACAGGTATTGTAAGTACAGTTTGCAGTGAAACTGTACAATGTCCTTGAAAGTGTGCTTTACATGATGTTTTCTGAATAAGGAAAGGGATTATTGTGAAGGCCTGTATGAGCTGAATTTTATCTGGCGTCAGGAACAGACTTCACAGTCACTTTAAGATAATCAATATTTTTCACAAATCAAGGTGTAATTAATATTTTTTTCAGCAGCTTTTTGTTTTAACACTCGAGAAGTGAGATTAGGGAAAAGAACAGAACACAGGAGTGAAACCAGGAAGTAAGGATGATTCTAAGTTTGGGTTGTTGTGCTTTCATTGCAGATATGAGCCCCTTATGTTGAGGAAGCCTGATCGGCGGCGCAGCACCACCCAGACGTGGAGTTTTCGTGATGGGAAGTTGACCTGTGGTATTCATGGACTGGTTGTCCAGGTCAGTACTGCTTGTACTTTGAACTTGTTTTGACTCTTTCTCTTATAGATAACAGGAATTTGTGCTTGCTATTGAAGAGAAGTCGAAATTCTGAGTCCAAAGTTTGGGTTATAGAGGTGACCAGACCTACACAACAGCTCACGTGTTTTAAACAGTAGTTCAAAAGTTCTTTTCAATTACAAATAATTAAATCTTGCTTTATTAATTTGCAAGTAAGTAATTAGAGAAATAATAGTGTATGATTGTTGAAAATAATCAGTATAATGATAAATAGAATCTCAGTATTCTCATAGAACCAACTTGAAAATGCTGCAGTGTCAGCCAATACCACTGGTTAGAGTCAGATCTTGTTAAAGAATTTTGCTTCTTTTAGGTACTTCAGCCATTTTTACCCATTGCTTACAAGCAAAAGTTAAATAAATTATGCTACATATTGTTGAAACAGCAAACTACATTTGTGGTAAAATATATTATTTCTGGATATTGCATTGATAATTTTGTGATCAAATTAATGCACCACAGCAAGTTACTTGTTGGTTTGCAGCAGCCCAGAAGCCCTGCATTGCTGCATTAAGGTACCAACACCACGAGGATTTAAATTCCCACCTTATCTGTAATCCAGAGTTCACCTTTCAAGTTCAAGTTATCTGTTGTGTAGGGTATGATTTCAGTAGGGACTTCCATTGTTGGATCACGATCTGATAGCTTCAGTGTCTGAACATGAAGAGAAAATAATTTCTGATTGTGGCTATTTATTCTAGTTGTCAAGCTGATTAAAGGCAAGCTACTAGAAGCTGTAGTAATATTAAGTAGTATTACTGCTGGATTGTTTCTCTGAAGAGCAAGAAATTTGTCATTTCCCCCACTCCCTCACCTGGGACTGAGTTTCAGACTACTTCTCTGCAGATGGAGAAGTAAAACACGCTTTAAATTAATGTATATGAACAGTTATCTGAAGTTCTACCTCTCACATGTTGTTTTTTTTCTGTTTTGTTTTTGACTTCTGTTTCTTTATGCAGGCAAAGGGAGGAATATTAGGTCTCCATGATGGAGCAGAAGTTGTTCTTGGTCCGGACACTTCCATTGAGCTTTTGGGGTCAGTTCCACCAGAACAGCAGTTCATAAACCAGAAGATGAGGCCGGGCTCAGGAGTGCTGGCTGTTCGAGTCATCCCAGATGGGCCAACTCGAGTTCTGCAGGTGAGAGTCCTTCATTAACCTGAACCTAGTTTTATTATTTGCTTGTACTTGAAGTGCTTTTATGCCTTGCATCTCTAAGTTCTTAGAAATAGCTGTTATTTATGAATAGGAAAATGATCATAGTAGTAATTTGCTTTGTTTCTTATTAGATAACAGATTTTAACCAGCGCAGAAATGATCGTTTATCCAGTGGAGGAGATGAATTCCCAATTACAGAGCAAGATCTACGCAAATTAAAAAATCCAAATGTGGAGCAAGAATTAGAAGTAAGATACTACAATTTGTATCTTCCTATTCGCTTTTTTTCTTCTTTTTTTTTTTGAAGTTATGTGGTGAGGTTTTGTTTTGGTTCTCTGTCGTTTCCTTTTGCCCATGTGCACCTCTTGCTGTGAATGTATGCATTTTCCTGCTAGAACTCCTCATTCTTAAATGCTGGGTTTGTAAGTCTGTGATCTCTTTAAGAATTAATTTCAGCAGCTCAGGAGATAAATCTAAAATAAAACTTCTTCAAAGTATACATTCAGTACCACAAGGATTTTTTCAAGGTTTTTTTTCCTACTTCCAATACTCTTTTTGCAGGTGCTTGTGAAACTGGAAGGTGGAATAGGATTGTCATTAGTCAACAAAGTCCCCGAAGAGCTAATATTTGCAAGCCTCACAAGAATTAATGTTCACTACACACAGATGTCAACGAGTCAGGTGCTAGAGCTCAGCGTGCAGGATGTGCAGGTATTTGTTGTTATGAAACAAATATATTTGTTTGTGGGTCTTCTGGAATGCTGGAAGGTGTTTGGAGCTCTCATTGAGATTTCAACTCCTTAACATCAGAAGTTTGCTTAGCATCAGTTTTGATCTTTCACTGTCCTCTACTTACTGATAGTTTATATGATGATGTATTTTGCTCCATGTTATTAATTTCTAATTGTTTGGTAAGTTAGATTTTTTGTTTTGATACTATATAATGAAAAATCATCCATTGAAAACAGGAGTCCTGAAGCTGAGTATCACAGTATGAGGCACAGAAATCTCTTAACTGTTTGTTTTCCAAGCAGATTTTGATTCTGACTTCAAAGTTTTGCTTTGTTTGCAGTTCAGTCTTTCAAATTCAGAATGAGCAAATTAAACTGAGCACTGTGATACGTTCTACTGAGTCCTTAGAATTCTGTTCCCATTGTGCAAGACTGCCTTCAAGGAGTGTATGTGCTCTTGTAGACTCAATAACAAGTGGATACTCCTGAGTTAAAGAAGCTTGGTTTTGCTGTTCGTTGTCACTTATTCTTATTTTCTTGCCTATCTTTTCCATGTGCTGTAGGTGGACAACCAGCTCATTGGCACCACGCAGCCTTTTATGCTCTTCCTGACACCTCGGATGAGTGAAAACGAGCCCATGGAGACTGCTCCTGCAGTGCAAGTGAATGCCATGAAATTTCCCAGTAAGAATGCACTGACTGATATATACAAGGTAAACCACAGACTTTTGGTTATGCCATGCCAATTTCAATCTGGTTAAATGATTCACCTGTTCTTAATTTTTACTAGCAACCTGAGTGAAATCATTTGTTGAATGAGGTCCACATTCTCATGTTCATAGTGTTTGGAGCTGCAGTAGAGTGATGAACAGGATTTAAAAAAATAAGCAAAGATTAATGAGATCACTGTTTGTAAATGTCCATCACTTTATTTCTCATGCCAATTACTCTCTTCAGAATTGGTTGGTATTGTATAGTGAAGCCAAATATCTGTGCCTTGTTTTTGATGACTTGTACACAAGGTGATGACACCTCCCTGGTAAGATGACGTCTTGCAGCATGAACTCTGTTTTCTGTACTGCAGCAATTAATTGGGAATTTTATCCACCAATTGGAGTTTTGTGAGGGCAAAATATGTGGGTATCAAAACTACTTGGAATCTCCAAGTGTGTATTTTGACATGCTTGAAAACCAGCTGGTTTCACTGTTGGAATCCAGTTAACATCGCATTCTGAAGTGTGAGTATTGGGTAACAAAGCATGGTACATTTCAACAAAAAAAAATCCAACCATCTGCAGTTGTAGGTGAATTCAAGTGAAAGAAGATACCAAAGACATTTTTGAAGATGGGAATATTAATACAGTTCCATTCTAATGAAAATACTCTGTTAAATAGAACATATTGTCCTATTCAATGGCTTACACAGATTGTACTTCAAGTGCTAATACTGTAAACTGAGACTTGTGTATCTTTTTAGCATCTGATGATCACTGCTCGAAAGTTCACCGTTCAAATTGAGGAGAAGTTGCTCCTGAAGCTGTTGAGTTTCTTTGGCTATGCTCAATCTGAATCAGGTATGGCATGAAATTACCAGCACTGCTTTTACAGTATGCATAGCTGTTACGATCTTTGCGTATGAATGAAGTTCAGAATACCTGGTGAGCTCTTAGCTGCTTGGAGACTCGCACTGCTGGACAGAGCTGGAAAGCTTATGTCTCCATGGCCCCAAGCTGTTTGTGTATGCTGTGCTTGCTCCAGTGTACAGGCAATGATCCAGGTCACTGGCATTGTCCTGTGTGCAGTAGCTAAGCCGTATTTCTATAGGAAGGAGTTTAGTGTTCATTTTAAGCTTATGTAGCTGGATTCATCTAACTTAAAGACTTAGCTTTGTAGTGAAGAACAAAAAAATAAAGATATTGAATTTCACTTACACTGTTTACCAGTCTGTCCTTTGTTTAAGTTTACTCCAATGCCTTTTCTTTTTCTGTTTGTTTGCTTACTTTCTGTACAGTCTTTGTAGTTTATCTGCTCATACTGATGTCATCCAAGATTCAAACAGTATCTTTTTTGTCATTTATGTTCAGTGTGTTCAGTTGACCAGTCTATTCAGTGTCTTCTCTATGGGTGTTTTCTCTGTTCAGTAGTGATGATTGAAAGTATCAACGTTGCTTGTTTTGTACAACATACTGATAATTGGTCAAATAAGGAAGGATAAAGAAAACAGAGAGGAAAATGCTGTAAGGTCATGACTGTGCAGTAGGAAGGAAACAGTGCATAGTTTGTATCACTTTGCTTCTATATGATGACAGACACATTCAAAGCAAGATTAGAAGCTTAAACTGTGCATTTGGGTGACTTTAATTTTATCTAACTACAAATACATTCAGGCTTTAGAGATGCAGACGGATAGGAAAAGAATTCTTAAACCTCAGAGGTCAAGTTCATGTCATAAGATGTGAGTAATTTTGCTGACTACCCTAACAATTGCACATTGTTTTTATTTATATAGAGAAACCTTTAACTCCTTACAGAGTGTGCTTCCATAATTGCATATATGTTCAATCTATTCTAATTCCGGTGTTTTGTCTGTATGTAGAAGTTGAAAAGTATGACGAAAACCTCCATGAGAAGGTGGTTGAAAAAGGTGGAGGGCAAAAGCGATACTACTTTGAAAATCTAAAAATCAGTGTGCCTCAAATCAAGTTGAGTGTCTTCACTTCCAACAAGCTACCTTTGGATCTCAAGGTAAGGCAGAGCACTCAGAGAATGTGCTTCCCAACAAGGAAGTCATGTATTCTGTATGTTAACTGTCACAGAAGGTGTTCATTCAGTTCTGTGGCACAGGAGAGTTCAGGGGAGGAGGGAGAGAACAATCACAGTAGAACCTTTGTGGAGGTTTTTCTGACTACCTCTAATGTTTCTGGAAGGCGTGGACATGGCAGTCTGCTAATGGGGAGGTAGACAGATTATTTTTATTAGAGACCACTATTAACAAAGTTGCCTTATGTAATATCTGATAGTTAAACAGGAAATTACTTCCTACCGAAGTGAATAATGAGGGCTACTCCAGTTAGTCATCCATTTACTAAAAAAAATAAATAGGTCCTTTCTTGGAAATGTAAATCGCACTGTAATTTACCTTAATTACCTGCAGATGGCAGAAAAACTCATGTTACTACTGAGCATGATTTGGTGGCTACTGTAGGAAAATACAGCACAAGTCTCAGGCTTCTTGCCTTCTTCAGATTTCCTGATGTTGGTGACTGTGCACATGTTGTTATGAAGAACTGAACTAAAGCAATCTAGAACAGAACAGTTGGGAAGGACCTTCAAGGATCTAGTCCAACCACCTGATATACAGACTGTACAGGATACAGATGGCCCATGGGCTAATTACTGTCTTCGTTTTCTTCCTTGATGATAATTGAAAAGGCTGGTTGAAGAATCTGGGTACACCAAGTCATGAAACAGGCCTTAATCTTGCAGGAAGTTAAGATTGCTATTCCAGCTCATCCTGACAATTAATCCATTCGTAGAAGTTTAGCAAGGTGGAAAGCACCCAGTTTTGTCTTCACAGCATATCATATAGGCTGTAGTTTAATTGACCATTAGAACAGTTAAAGAGAAGTGCTAAACATGGAGCCTTCAACACGTTTTGTTTTGAATATGAATGTCACGTGTAGGAGGCTGCTTACATCTTGAGAGGTGTTTAACCACTGTCTAATTACTGAACAAAATGTTCATTAATTTGTTCATATTTTGCAAGTAAAAGGTTTGTAGAGTGATTGCCCTCTGAATCAAAGCATCTATATGGCAGTGTAAACTACTCTAGCAGATAAGCTTTTTGGCTTGTAACTCATTTAAAGATTAATTCATTTGAGTGCTGTGAACGAAAGCAGAGGGAAAAAAATTAAATAGCAATATCTTTTATTTAATTAGGCATTGAAAAGCACGCTGGGATTTCCTCTAATCCGATTTGAAGATGCTGTGATTAATCTGGATCCTTTCACTAGGGTCCATCCATATGAAACTCAGGAATTTATCATTAATGACATTCTGAAACACTTCCAAGAGGTAAGTGTCATTTGGATTTTAGTGTGGGGAAGGCTGAAGTTCTCCTGATGGATGAGTTCTCTAGCGAGGATTTGGGGAACTCTTGGTTATGAAGACTGTTACTTGTTTGGGCATGCAGAGAAATACCATGATAATGTGGACACCACACTTTAAGATGAAGCTGTTCTTGTTCTTACTGATACTTGTGTGTTATTTTAGAGCAATTCTCTTGTTTTTAATCAACCTTACTGGTGTTAACATGAGAATATTTCAACCTTCCTGTTGCTTTTACAGGAGCTGCTTAGTCAGGCAGCAAGGATTCTAGGTTCTGTGGATTTCCTGGGCAACCCTATGGGTCTACTGAATGATGTTTCAGAAGGCGTTACTGGACTTATAAAGTATGGCAATGTTGGTGGTCTCATAAGAAATGTCACACATGGAGTATCCAATTCAGCTGCAAAGGTAATAATTACCATAATAAAGTTCCCTAAAAAATAGGGAACAAGTAGCATAGAATTATTGACTGTCTTCAAATAGGTTGCTTTCTATCCTGTTTGTCCTGTAAAAAGTTGCATTTGGAATGTTGCTCTTTTGGAATGCTTACACGTGCACTCTGGGGATGCTGGTAACTCTGCAAGAAGCAGTGTGCCATGTCATAGATGTCCATTTGTTTTTCAGATTGAATGCAATAGTTAACAGCATTTTAGGTCTCTGGTTCAGATGTGGCATCATCTCCTGTGTGCACATGATCAGAGATGTATTACACTGGTTACCCAAACTAAAGCTCTCTGGGAATTGGAGCACTTAAAACGTTACTCAGTAGAACAGGAGAATTGTTGATTTTATTTTTGGGAACTGATTCAACTGAGGCAAAAATGAATAGTTCTGCAAACGCTTTGATTACTTTTCTTTTGATGTACCACATAGCTACAAAGTAAGAGGTTTAGGTTTTTAGTAAGAGGTTTTTATTATTGCTATCCCTTTAGCTTAATGCCAGGATTGGTGCACAGTGAACATTCCTTTGTCCTTCCAGGTAATGACTGAGAGAACACTATTCTATCAGTGTTATTAATTGAAAATAACTGCTTTGGTGTCTAAGAGAACACAGCAGCCAAAAATAGGAAATTATTTTGGTCATGGTCTGTATGGTGCTTGATACTGAGCAGACAAACATATGTTGGTGGTAGCACTGGAATAATGTCTTCCTGACATGAGGGCTTATTATTAAATGTCATTTCCATGGTACTGTAGTTTCTAAACATGGGAAGTCTGTGTATAAGGAGAAGGACAGTGGCGTGAGGGAGATGTGGCAAAGAGACCTAAATCAAATTTGGTCAGAAGGGATTAAAAGTGCTTTCTGTGATAGTGAGTTGTAGTAGCTGGTTAGTGGTACTTTGGTGTATTTGCAGGTAGGTGGCATTAAAGCATGCAGTGGTTGATACAGCCAGATGAAACTGGCACTCAAAATCTGCCTTTCCCAGCAATGGGTACCATAAGTACAGAACAGTTACAGAAAACTTTGTGTTTTCCAGTGGTATTTCATGGACATGATAATGGAGAAAAGAGAGATTGGTTGGGGGGATGGTTTGGTAACAGCTGAAACATGGAAGGAAACCTCTCAGTGTTGCCCTGGCACACTGGAGGGTGTGCATGTGTGCCTCTTTGCTTGTACAGTCCAGCTTTCCTGATATCACTGTAATTTCTGAAGGTGTTTTAATGAAAATTATATTCAGGGAAATTGGGGGACAGAGTAAAACGTCCTTCCAAAATTCCCAAATGGGGGTAACTGATGACAGGAGTCTCTTTTTTCCTCCCTTCTCTTAAATAGGGATAAGAGCAGTTGTTCTTTCACAGCCTACTGCACTTACTTGTACATGTGAATCTTATTTGCACTTCTGTCTTTTTCCTGCATTGGTGGGAAAAGGTAATTCAGAAGATTAGTAGGGCAAGAGGTAGTGTTTGCATAATCACACACAACTCCAGAGGGATATTTTCAGACCTGGCTGAACTGCCATAGAGATCCCCCATCCATCACCAGGTACGTGGCTGTGAGCACAGACAGCTGAACTGTGAGGAAGATGATATAAACATCCTCTAAAACAATTGTTTCGTTCCCTGCAGTGCCCTGTTAGAACCTTTACAGTGACTTAAAACGCTGTTGAGTTGACTTGCCAACGCTCCTATCTTAATCCCATTCCCATCTCCTTTGAGATTCACTACAGAGCACTTTAAGCATGTGGTTAAGATGTCTTGAAGTGCATGTGTTGTTAGTGTCAGCACTACAGATACAGCTTATCCACACCGTTGGGTAGAATCCTCACTGAGCTTCTGTAAGGCAGCATCCATCTGCGCCAGTGCTCCTGTCCATGCTTCCTCCTCACAGCTCTCATCTCTTGTGACCCATCTACTCCACCCAATAGAGAATGTTTCTTTAGAGTTTCCTTTCTATAAAGGGTTGTTTCCTCACTGCAATCACATCTGCAGCAACGGACTCATAAATCTCTTTTTAAAAGGCACGAGCCTTCCTACATTTCCCACAAGGGCAAGGTCACTCTTTGAACTTTGCAGTCATTTGTAACCAAGGGGTTTCTGAAAGAACGTTTTCAAAGGCAGAGGGGCAGTTGGATGCTGAACTCCTCTCGAAATTCACCAGAACCTGAATCCTGCTTCCCATTTATACCTTTGAAAATCACCCCATGGACTGTTTATTTGTCTTGCCAGGTATTTTTTTTTTCTCTTTCCTTCATACTTCCAAAGTGTCTGAGGTGCAAGGCTCATGCTGTTGCCTTCTAGAAGTCTTTCTATATTGATTATATATTTATTCTTTCCTCAATTAGTTCTCCTTCCAGTGTTACCTTTGCTGCATGGAAGATGGTCATAAAGAAGGCTCAGATAATCAGGATGATTTCTTCTGTGTGTCTTCTGCTCATAGGCATCTAAATCTGCATAAGGTTTCACAATTGCCTCTATGCAATACCAATGCACCTTATGACACCATATATGTGTGTGGCACAAAGTAGAGCATTGCTTCCCACTCTACCATTAGCATGCCTTGTGATCATGTTATGTTAAGGAACAAAATAGAGGGGAAAATAATTCCTATTACTGAAGAAAAACACCACTGAAACAATAGATCCATTTCACCTTGCTCCCTGGGTGCTGTCTATAGAGAAGAGGTCATTAAAATGCTCTTTCACCACAGACATTTCCACCTGGTCAGCTGTGCCATAGAGTCCTCATCTTCTGCAGTTCTGGGTACCTGACTTCAAAGTGTCTTCAGTAAAACTCTATACTGGATTTTAAGATGTGAATGGAAACTAAACCTAAATACTGTAGTCATTGCTTTAAACCCAACACTGCTTGACTGAATTGAAAAGTAAGCTATTTGGGTTGTATCTGGTTTTGTCATTTTATTGCTTTTGTATTTTATAGTTCTGTTGCTTGCCCCTGTAATGGCTTTTCCATGCATTTCAGAGCACACAGTGGGTAATGCCTTCTTTCAAGTGAAGAGCTGCAGTGTATTTAAGTTGGCACAAAACCTTAGGTTAAGTAAAGTTCACTATAGAGAGTTTTGTAGATTTTATCCCTTGGAGACTCTGAGTTCTGTATTTTAAAAAGTTCTTTGATCCTAAATATAGACACCTGAGGGAATTTCATTCCCTCTGAATGAAGCCTTCTATAGTTGCCATATGCGTAGAAATGTCCTGAATTCTTGGCATTCACACTTCATTTCCCCTTCAGGCATGATGGTTCTAAATCCTAAGCTGTTCCTGTTTCTGAGGTGTTTCAGTTAGAATGGAGTACTGAACACAGTGTTACTGTCTGAACTGGTGACCCCAGCAGCTCCAGGCCCCATCCAGCCCAGCTTTGGGCACCTCCAACCTTGGGCACCTCTCTGGGCAACCTGTTCTACCTCTGGACAGCAGGTGCATGGCTCTCCTGTGAAGTATGTGTTGTCTTTTTGGTTAACTTCATGGATTTTGAGTTTTACTTTCAGAAAGCTGATGGTTGACCTTTACAAGAGTAGTCTGGATATTGAAATGGTGGGATTTAGTAGCCACAGCTGTAGGTGGTTCAGCTTAAAGGTAACATTAGGTGGGTTTTCTTGTTTGATTGGTTCTGGTGCCCTCTTTTTGTTCTGATTCATTTCAGATTAAGGTTATTCTCCTCCCATCTGCCCCAGTATTGTCCAGGTAACACATCCAGGTGGCACTGCAGCTCAGCTGCAGTTCAGCCTGCGTTTCAGTCTAAGTCTGTAGCAGAGATTCAAGTGCTAAGCAGTGAGAATCTGAATGAGGATGTGCGAATTGTGAGAATCTGTGATGGAAAGTAAATGTAATTCCCAGGCAGAAACTTTCAGTTCTGGGGCTGTTTTATGGATGAGGCCTTTTACCCATTGCCCAACTGTTCCAAAAGACAGCAGGATTTATGGCCGAATCACAACAATCAAAAGCCATGGAAAGTGCCACCTCTGATGTGCAGAACATCTGGTATCAGTATCTTTTGAAAGAGATTTGGGGAGAAGTGAAAGGTAAAGGATCAGATCTGAGAATTTGGAAGGACTGTCTTGTTTTCCATGGGAACATCACCATTCACAACAAATTCAGCATTTCTTGTACAGAGCATCTTAGGCAAAGTATGGGTGAGCCTGCTCAGGCTGCCATGTGTTGCTGACTACAGCTTTGCTCCCAGGAATGTTCTCAGAAAGTGAAACACAATTTTGAAGTGAACAAAGGAGAGTTCAGATTGCGATATGTGAAATGATGCTAGAGGTGCAAACTGTGAAATTAGAAATGAACAGATTTATCATATAGACAGAAGGAATTACGGTCTGAGCCTACAGGTGTTAAATAGCCAGTGTGTTGTGTCATATGTCACAGTTAGAACCTGGAGGAAAAAAATGGGGTGCAGGTTTGAAGTTCACACTTCAGTCCTGACACAAGGCAGGCTGCACCTCCCTGCTGCGTGTTTGAACGGGGAGCACATAGAAGGTTGTGTGTATGATATGTTAAATAGAGATTTAAACTTGAAATTCCTTGGGCGTGCGTCCCTGAGGAGTGAAGACAATACTTCTGTGTCCTGAGGAGATCTCCAGCTCTGTGTGCTGTAATACAGATGGTTGTCATCAATGTTACCGAGCCGGGTGTGCAGGAGGGGTGGCAGGATGAGGGGAATGGCCTTGCATGAGGTTTCCTCCAGAGGTAGGAACAGGTAATACATAAAAACAAACAGTAAAACAAACAATAAAACATAGCCCTGTATACAGGCAGCAGCAGGGCTGCCACAGTGCCAGTGCCTTGTGCTGCATCAGCTCCATGAGCTGGACTCGGGTTTTTGCCTCAGGTTCTCAGAATCCGGAGGGTTTGGGGTTTTTTTTTTTTAAGGAGGGGGCGATGGCAAAATAATTCTGTTCCCAAAACACAAACAAACAGGAAGACCTTAAAGCATGGCAAGAGTTAAAG